CGGAATCGTGAAATGAAAAACTTTGCGTGCGCACTTGTGAAAAGACGGTCAGAGTTATCTTCGAATGCTCTTCAATCCTTTCGACTTGAAAAGAATTATTAACTGACGTAATTTAAACATTAATGTTCCATCAGATGTTCATTTAAAGATAGGTGGCTGGAATTCGAACTTAATTCGAGAGCTCGAATTAAACAAATTTTTCAAGCGACTGTAAGCAGACAGTCCACAGACGAAAAAAGAAACGAAAATTACGCCAATGCAGAAATATAATGAAGTCACGTTCGTTTGAATATCGCAATTGTGCAACCGTTTGGTTTTCACCGAAGTAATAGTCTCGCGTTGATTTGATCAAGGTTGAGAAATTAATCGGTTTTCTAAAGAAAACGTAGCTATCGTAAGAATCTACGGACAAAGACTGATGTTTGATTGTGATCACGCACGCGGAATGAATATTCGATGACCGCACCAGGAACTGATTTCGTCGCGGCGACAACTTTTTTGCATTATACGCCTCCGCTTCGGAATCAACGTCGTCTGCGACAACGTTCAAAAGGAGAAGGATGAACCGACACAATTACTGTTCGACAAGGATGATTTTACGCTTCTCCACGACGACCGCTACTACCGGGTTGGTGCAAAAATAACGATCCCCTTCAAACCATTACGCTATCGCAATTAAAAAAGAACTTCTAAAAAAAGACACTTGTCCCAATTTTCTTTAGAATCACGCTGCACGTAAGTTGTACGAATCCTGTTGTTGAAATACGGACGTTACAAAAGATGTAAAACATTGAAAATTAATGCCCTCGCTACAATAATCACTAATCACAAGCATAATTGAATCGCTGATGAAAAATTGTCGATATTTTATAATTGTATAACTTTCTAAAAGAAGATGAGAGATTAATTTTGTACAACTTTCTAAGAAAGATCAAACATTCTTCATTTTGGAGCGTGAAGTCTCTTTAACTTCAACAGGCTCGAGTTCATTTCTTTCAAAGATACTTTTACCTCGCGTAGCAGGTGAGGATACTTTCATTTTCAAAAATTGCAAAAATTCAAACGTCTCTGAAAACATTACATAAACAATGACTTTTGATGATTGAAATTTTCTCTTTACGACAATCACTCTTCAAGATTACTCCACGATCTTTCATCAGGGTTAAATGACAAAAATCCTGACATTTCGTCGTCTAACCTTTCACTGTAAGTTTTGGCATTAATTGAGTCCTATGTCCTAATTGTCAAACAGTCTTTAAGATTAAGAAAAATTCGAAGATTAAAAGATTGAAACGGGTTTTGCTGATTAGAACGAGAGCGAGATTGGGACGTAAAAAAAATCGGAGACCGTAACGCCATTAATATGGAAAAGATACTCGCGCGAGCATTTAGGTATAATTAATAATTATACGTATAATTAATCAGATTTGAAGTGCAGATATTTATGCAAATTCGTATTTTTTACAGAGAACTCGTGTGAGAAAACGAAACGTGAATAAGAGCATATCCTATTTTCCAGTTTCGCAAAATATACATTCGTAGATGTATAATAATATTTTCAAAATTTGTATCGTTGCGAACATAACTAACTGTGATACGAACATAAACATAATACTATGTAATTAGCAAAGGGATTGAACATTTATAATCGAATCATTTTTAGTTGCACGTAATTTCTTTATGTGTATCGTAGCGAAAGAACTGAAAAAAGATTCTCGAATTTTTCTCGATCATAATTACTTTACGACCGCGAAACAAAGGAACTGCCGTTATTTCTGTACCAACCTAATACTCTTGAGCAGGTCGTGGCAACAACCTATTCTTTCCCGTAAGTCTCTCCAGCCTTGAGGAAGAAAGAAGAAGTAGTATGACGGAAGAGGATGAAGAAGATGAAGAAGAGAAAAAAAAAAAGGCACGCGTTCGTAACGTTACTCGGTCGCGGTTAATGCGCACATTTCACGATTGTGACTTTTGAACGGGTTCGATAAGCCGTAACAAACGCGACTATCGATGACAGATTCGACGTGCCGCCATTTTTTAATTGTTATCATGACGATGGCACGGCGCTTCGGCGACTGTCCCTGACTTCCGGCTCGGTTCACTTTCCTCGAATCAGAGGGGAAAAATAAAAAAGAAAAAAAGAACCGATGACTCTCCCGCGGCGTAATTCCTTTCCACCCGCATGTGGTTTAATCGCGTTCAACTCTGCTACTATCCTCGAGTCTTTGCATTACGAGACTTCGTTTTAATTTTAAAGGACGTTCCACACGTAAAACTTAACCGTCTTGTCGTGATCACAGAAGAATTATAAGAGCAAGGGATTAAGAAAATATTCTTTTACATTTTCCACAAACTTTTTAGATATTCCTTGATCATTAGGTTCAGAATGACCCAAAGAGTTGCAGCAGAGTTAGAAAAGAACGCGCGCGAATGTAGAGCGAAGAACGTCTCAAAGATCTATCGCGTAATTTTTATTTGTCTTCGTATTTTGTGGTCGTGAGCGTATATCTTTTATGTTCCTTATATCTTTATCCATTCACGCGGTATTGTTTCAATGATCGTTTTCGACTAGGGTATTTTTTTAATGCACGTAGATGACATTCAAGTTCTCGAACTTTATAATATATTATTGTACACGCATGGATCTCAAAAAATAATCTTCATCACTCTTTCCACTCAGCCCTTCTAAAATTGGGGCAACTATATACAAACGAATCAACACCGATCGCCAAAATAAAAATTAATCTTTAATTAATTCTTATCTTAACTATCAAATTTTTCTAAAAAGATTCCTATAAAAAAAGGACCTCAAATATTTACAAGATTAATCTAGTAATACTTCCAGCAATATTCTCCAGAATGTCTTCTTGCAGTAAAAACGCGAATTTATCATTGTATCGTAATTTCAATATTGTCAGGGGAAAAAGCGGAAAAAAAAGTGTACAAATATACACACTCTCAAACGTGTAGTTTGATCAGAGAAGATCAGGAGAACTGTTTCACTGCGTGAAAACCGACTTAACTTGGATTATGCTGTTGAGCGATTAAAAGAAGAAAAAAAAAAAAAAAGATATACGCTTAAGTTCGCACAATTCGCACATATCGTGGAGAGAACAGCTGGCAATTTGAGTGCGCAGTCACGCGACGTAGATTCATTGAGACGGGGCCCGACGTGGATGGAAGTAGCCGCGCGTGTTATACCTACGATCGTGGCGGAGTTCCAGACGCGCGCGTTAGATCGCGAAAGTCGCCAAGCCAGCACTGACTTCTATCCACGGTTTTATAGCGGCCGCCAACCGAGTATATCACGTGGCACGCGCTTGTCGGTGCGTGTTTCAATGCAGCGACATGACGTTCCGTGCCGAACGCATATGTTGCCACACGCTGTCACTGCTCCGCTGTTCTTACTAAACCGTTTTGTGCCGCTGTTTCGCGTGGGTGGTTGCAAATCGTAAAAGAGAGAGAGAGAGAGAGAGAGACAGGACACATAGGATGTGCTCTTCAAACACTTCGTACACTGTGTACACGTAGCAAAAGTTTCGAATCGCTTCCAACATAATTCGACGTTCAGATGGTTTGGAACATTTGAAACTTGAGCCTTGCAGATGTCTTGGAAAGATCTATTAAAGAAATAGTATATTTTATACTTTATACACATAAGGTATTTAAAATAAAATGCTGAACTCCAGAACTTACCGAGAATTTCAACAATTTCAAATATCGAGTCATATTCGAAGTGATTCTAATTTGCACACGTAGTATTAAAAAATCGTTTCGCGATTCAAGACTCAAGAGGATACACTAGGGCTTAACCTAATAACAGATTAATACAAATTCATGCGTCGTGCAATTAGCGTGCTGGTGCATCAGATATAGGAAAAGAGCCAAGTATACTTAGTAACTGTCCGACATAGAATACAATAAAGCCGTGAAAAGAATAGAATTGATTAACAGAAATAAGTGAAATCAGATGGGAATAGAGTTCGAGTTTCGATTAATTCGGTATTCGTGTTTAAATGTGACGAGTGATTAATACCAAACAGAGAAGAATATTCAAGAATATGCAATAATATTAAAATTAAATTCTTAAAATTTCATAGACTAGATTATGATTAATTAACTTTTATAAAATAAATGAATCAGTGAAAAAGTTTGATCGAGGATTCGAATTTGAAAAATCTCGATCTTGAAGTCAGCTTGAACTCGAGCAATCGAATCACTTCGAACAAATCGACGATTCGATTCGCACGCTTTTATTTGCGGAACAAGTGTTTAAATTCATTACATTCCATTTTCGGTCAATTATTTACGTTTCAATTTACTTGCTCGCTTATTATAAAGTTAATGAGTAGCTTCCTTAAAAAGTGGAACTGGCTCTTATCCCCCATCGTGAACGCTAATCAATAGCAATTTCCTTAAATCAAGTCGAACGGTAAAGTAGAACGCTTTAAATGCTTCTTGATTTACAAACAAAGGTTAACGACATACTTCGTGGATTACGTGACCAGTATACAATGCTCGTATAAATACTTGCATACCAGATCGATGCTGTTGGTAACAACAATAAATTTCATTTAATTGAACGATAAAACAGGTTGTTCGCAGCCACTAACCCCAAATATAAAATATATAGAAAAGCCGCAAGCTTTTCACTAAAAACAAGCAAAGGAATTCGTTTTAAAATTTCATGCCTTCTATCTCTTGTTACTGACTTAAATAAATGCGAGAAACTCCCTTTTCCTTCGACTCATTGTCCTACTCTTAGTCCTGCTTTGACTACAAAAAAATATGTGTATATATTACGTATGACGTCAGCGACCGCTAATATGTTAATAGAAACATAAAACCTATTATGAAAAACAGATTAAACATTACGTAGAGTTCAAACAAAGGCGTAATACATAATTGCATTCAAGACGAGTTGAATCCAATTATGCGCAGCATGCATCAACATAACACAAACACAAACACGGAGGATAAAAACGCAAGATAGATCTTACTTTTCCGTTGGGCTTGTAGCACGCTCTGACGTCTACCATATTGTTCAATAAAGTATGAGTGTCATCCGCGCCGTCCAGGCCCAATTTCTCCACGAATTCCTCCCTCGTGCGTATCATTTCCCAATTCGCGATATTATATCCCATAGAAGCTTTCGGATCGTTTCGTATTGTCCACCTCCGATACTCCCAGCCGACAATCAAAAATCTTTCCTCTCTTCGCTCGTACGGAGCCGGCAAGTATGTATGTATTCACCAATGTACCCCTCTGATATTTTCCAACTTCAAGTTGTTACGAGCTCTCCGGTCTACCTAAACGTCAAACAAGAAGAGTACATATTCACAGAATGCGGATGAACAATTACGAGCCACGTGCGAGCCCTTCCGTCTGCAGATTTCGTAATCCACTCACTGAACCCGGTCGCACATGCACACGGCGTATCGATTTGACGTGCGTGCAACATGTAAACACGAGAGCACGCCACTCAACCGCTCCGACGTCTCCGCTGGGTACCGCAAATCGAACAAATATCACAGTTTCATATCAAACCGAAATAGCGAATCGCACGTTCCTAGAACAAATGCAGAGCATTGCTACATCGTCGAGCAACTCGTTTGCTCGTGAGTAGAAAGCGCAACCTTTTTGCAGTAATGCTTCGTTAAACGACCGTAAGTTGGGAACTAGTCGGTTAGATATCAAAGGAGCTATATTTCTATGAAATCCCTCGATATCCCATGACACATTGCTTTGTACAAACGCACCAGTAAAATGGATACAGCGAAATCGTAAATTTGGATTAGAGTTGTCAATTTACGTTTGAAAATGTCAAAGTGAAAAGTATGCGAAAAAAAAGTAAGAGAAAAAATGGAAGAGAAGATTCAATTCTCTGAAAGTTGAATAATCCACCCAATTAATCTAGCCGCACCTAGAGCTGTACATATCTCGCAAACGTACAGAAGTTTTTTTGAAATTTAAATACAGAAGTAACAATTTAACGTAAACGTTTGACATTTGACATTTGATTCAAAAATCTCACTGTGCCTCTTTCACCGATGGTAATCACCAGAAACTGACTTTAGAAAATTAAAATCCCCGGTGGGGATGGCAACGGCCAATGAACGCAAGTAGAATTCTGGTCAATTAACGCGACACATTTGTTCATTTGATACACGACATCGGAGACTCATTGTCAGTTCATGAAATCAAGAACTGGTGGGAATAAGAACGGTCAGTTAACGGAGCAAAATCGCGGCCAGTTAATGCGACACTACTGTACTCACCGACTGCGCACCTTATTGTGTATCCTTCGTCTCCTCCTGAGTCTGCGAAGAAGGGGGCGACGTGCACGCTCTACAGGCTATCCAAAAAGTCGTGTACCGGCATTAATATTTATTTTCAAGCCGACGGGAACGAATGAAAGCGAATTGGCGAAAAAATCGAACGTACTCTGTTATTTTCGATTTTAGATGTTTCAACATTTGTACTTAAGTCCTTTCAATACAGCAGAAACGATTGCAACAGCGATTATTTTTGTAGAAGCACGCGAGTTACCGGCTATCGAGACCGCATGACGTGCAATAATCGAATGTTTTCGTAAGTTTTACATGATCGTTCGTAGAAAATGAATTCTGCCTTGCGGCAAAGGGAGAGAGTGCGTCATAGAACAACTTTAAAGTTCGCGGTCAGTGTGCACATAATCGTGTAGAAACGCAGTCGGTTTAATCTCGATGTAACACTTGTCAGGCGTCACTCACCATTTCATCCGTCTAACACCGATTTACATATCGATTTTGGAGCGTGCTGCAAGCACGCCGTGATGGAAGGCGGTCCGCTCGAGAAACGGTGTATGTAAGACAACCTACTGACTGGCCACTGGACTTAAACTAAGGCGTTATGAATGAAAATCCCACGAACATATCTTTAAATATACGTCAATGAATATGCATACGTATCAATTGTAAGAGATATCGAGTAGTTCACAAATTTTTGTTAAATTTAATATATCGTTTCTTTTTTCTCCGCAAAAAAAGTAAGCAACCTAAGAAAATAAAGAGAAATATTGTAAATTATTTCAAAAACTGTTTACTGCCGCTTGTTGATATACCATTAACATATCGTTATTTTACATCTACATACATCTATCCAGCGAGTCAAGTCAGGATAGATAAATAAAACCACGTGATTTTATTAATCAATCTAGGGGAAATATGAAATTTGCAATCCTCTCATAAAAACTGTGGACATGACATTGAAAAACTTATTAGACTAGATCGTGTAAATATATTTCTTATGTCTTAACCAAACGTACTAAGTTTAGTAGCTCAATTTTAATATTTTCTACAATAATACAAGCACCTCTGAAAATCATAATTCACTAGCCAGTAGTTAAAATATCACGTGATCAATTATGTTTACTTCACTGATACGAAGTCAATGACGCAAATGCTAGATGTCTTGAACATATACGCATGTTTAAATTGTTTAGTTAGGTTATGAAGTATGTAAAATGTTTGCTTAAAACATTTTTACTTTAGCATCATTTAGAAAGTGACTTCCAATACGTTTGAGTAATACTTCAATGATGAGTTCCGATCATATGCATAGACGATGGAGTAATTTACGAAAAGTATTAGAAAGATCTGGTCCCTTCTGCAGACCGGATTTCGAACCATCGACAGAAACATTGCAATTCTTGTTAGACAATTGTAAGATTCTCGTCATTGGAGCCGGTGGTCTAGGATGTGAATTACTTAAAGATTTAGGATTGATGGGCTTTAGACAAATTCATGTAATAGATATGGACACGATTGAATTGTCTAACCTTAATCGGTACGAAAATAAATATATATGATTTATCGAAAGAATCGACCAAAATTTTTGTTAGGAAGAAATAAATAAATTAAAAATTGCAGGCAATTTCTCTTCCGTCATAAAGATATCGGTTCGTCAAAAGCAGAAGTAGCTGCGAAGTTTATTAACACTAAAATACCAGGCTGCAATGTTATATCACATTGTTGCAAAATACAGGATAAAACTGAAGATTTTTATAGACAATTTCATATTGTCATTTGCGGTCTAGACTCAATAATTGCAAGAAGGTGGATCAATGGTATGCTCTTGTCCTTATTAGTTTATGAAGATGGAGAACTTGATCGGTCCAGTGTAATACCAATGATTGACGGAGGAACAGAAGGTTTTAAAGGAAATGTGAGAGTGATATTACCTGGTCTGACTGCTTGTATTGAATGTACTTTAGATTTATATCCTCCTCAGGTACATAAATAAATGTACTTTCTTTTGTATTAATTTTTTTTCTTAAATTATTTTTTGTTAAAATACAGGTGACATATCCATTGTGCACAATAGCAAATACTCCACGTTTACCAGAACATTGTATAGAGTATGTGAAAGTAATTCAATGGCCAAAAGAAAATCCATTTGAGTATGCAATAGATGGAGATGATCCACAACATATAAATTGGATTTATGAAAAGTCTATCGAGAGGGCAGCTCAATTTGGAATACAAGGCTTAACATATAGATTAGTACAAGGTGTAGTTAAAAATATCATACCTGCTGTGGCATCTACAAATGCTGTTATTGCTGCAGCGTGTGCTACTGAAGCATTTAAACTTGCTAGCAGTTGTAGTGCTTCACTGAATAATTACATGGTATTTTCTATTGTTGACTTAAATTGAAACTCCAGGAATGCAATATAATAAGTAAATAAATTCTTTTGTAAAGGTACTCAATGACATAGATGGAATTTATACTTACACTTATGAAGCAGAAAAGAAAGAAGATTGTGTGGCATGTAGTCAAGTTCCAAAAGAAATTGAAATTTATAGCCCTAAATTCAAATTGAATGATTTGATAGAACTTTTGTGTGAAAAACCTGACTTGCAAATGAAAAATCCAGGTCTCACAGCGTACATTAATGGGAAAAATAAAACGTTATATATGCAAACTGTAGCGAGTATCGAAGAAAGAACTCGTGAAAATCTAACAAAAACGCTGGTCGAACTTGGGCTTAGAAATGGCAGTGAGATAAATGTCGCTGATATTACTACCCCTAGTGCGATTGTGTTAAAATTAAAATTTGTATATTGTAATTCAGATATGTGATAATCAGAAAATCCTTCATTTCGTTTATAAATTTATAACTACAAATCATTATATATATTTACAGTACTTATATTGCTTTCCTTGTCATTATTTAAAAAATAATGTCGACGTTCTTATCGAAATAATAAAAACAAAAACGTCTTCGATGTAATGTCATTTTTTTACCGAATTTATAAATAGATATCACACGATAACATTACTTTGAACATTTTTAATATATTGATTCATTCTAATTTGATGTAATTAACTGATATTGCTATTTTTTTTTTTTTTTTCTTTTTTTATAGTACTAGTCCTCTTGATTATCCTTATATATAACAGAAGCAAGTATTAAAACTATATTAGTTTCTATGACATACCTGTTATATTAACAATAAAGACACAGTTGCAAATACGATTCTATATTTCTGATGTTACGTTTCTCACTTTCATCAGAGATTATATATCATAGAAAAATTAGTGAGTCATATTATTCATAAAATTCTATGTTTTTCGTGTACGTTCTAAACTTCGTTTAGAAGTAGACAGTATCTTACAGATCAATGCATTAGTACGACTATTTTGAAAGAGAAAAAACGAGCAATTTAATGATTCGCGAAATATGCACGTGTCAAAATCGATACTTGTTAGCTTGTTATTAATATCTTTTTAATAACAATTTCTTTCATATTATATTAAATTTTATGTTAAGTATGAATTTTGTGCACAGTCCTTTTTTGCGTTATATGAACACGTTACTGATGACTTATTTGTAACAATGGATTTTTTTATATCTTTTTTTTATCTATTAGTGTTTAGTTTTCGTTAAAATCTTCATTAAGAAACATCATATCATATAGATCTTTCCATATTTGCTAAATACTTTTATTTTAAATATATGAAAAGATACTCCAATTAGAGCAAATGAAGGACAGTGCACGATGATCCAAAACGTCTTTTGTTTTACAAGCACACTTGGTAACATTCGACATATGCACAACTTGAGTAGAAAAAATATCTAGAACAAATACATTATCTATCTTCCTTATATAAAACTATTATTACATTGTATCAATAATTTTATAAGTTTTGCCTCTTTACCTCGATAAGACGATTACTCCCCAAGAATCTTTTATTCTTAATTTTATTTCTTTTTTATTTGAACGTCAATAACATAAAATGCTTCTATATGATAGTCTGAATATTTACTTTAAATTTGTGTTGAGGCAAACTGAATAAGAATAAAATATTTTTTAACGGTTGGGGAATTCTTACAACGAAACACTTCGAGGTTCATTGGCATTTCATTGTTTATACGGAATTCCAATGTAGACATTCTCATTCCAATTATACAATTCAAAATCAGACATTTTTTTTTTTTTTTTTTATAGTATGAATTATTCATTCACTAGAGACGAGATGCATAAAATCAGCTAGTGCAAAACCAGCATGTCAAAATAAGTTGCGTTGCGTTCGGCAGTGCATTCAAAAACTGTAGAACGTATGAACTATGATTCTATTAAAATAGTTAACATAATTAATATCGGACAATTTTTTTCCATAATTCAAAAACATTTACAAACTCAAAATTCTATTTTATTGGATTCTACTCTGAAAGAGAAACATTGAATATGAATGCACGTGCGATTTACTCCTTTTCTCAATCGATTCAAGCCACATAACATAATCATTATGTTCCGACCATTATTTACGAAAGAGTTTTCCGTATTTGACATGAAATACATTAGCTGTAAAATGTCTTATAAATAATCATTGTTCAATGTATAATAATACCATGGTCCATGAAAAAATAGTCTGGTAGAAAAACGTAAGTGTCAATAAGTGATGGCATAATAAGTGTCGTAAAGTCCGGTTCATTCAGGGCAGAATTCGACACTTTTTTCACGGAAATACAGTTATGTAATTAAACAAATGGCAATATAGATGCGAGAAAATTATAACGATATGGAGAATCACAATTTATCAATTGCGTCTCAACAAAAATACAAGTATTTAAGGTATAAAGTTGAAAAGTGTCTAATTTCTGCTCTGAAGCTGTTCAACAAAGGATAACGCAATGTGCACGATGTTAATACGTCATAGAGTACGCTAAAACGGTTGTGTTAGGCCTTGGCATCAACTTCCATTGCCACTTCACCTGCAGCTTTCTCCGCTCTTTTTCTCATCCTCTTTGCAGTCCTCGGATTTACCGAGGTGTACAAAAGGGTCTGTTAACGAAGTAATTAATTAATAATAAAACTATAAAAAGTAAAAGAATTAAAAAAATATAACGAAAAATTCATACCTTCAATTCGGGATCTTTAACAGCATATTCAGATTGATAAATGTCTAGATCTAAAGGAATTCCTGTAATTTTGTGTTGTCGATTATGCATTAATAGTACTGTGAATTTGAATTGTGCAGCAAATTCATTTGGTTTTTCGTACAACACCTAGAACAATAAAGATACAATGACATAAAACTTTCTGAACATAAGAATTATATGTACATGTACATAAACTCACTTGGAATGGTTCAATCAGCCTATGATTTACACATTCCACAACAGCCATTTTTGCCTTTTTCTCATCTTCAAAAGTACGTAAATTAAATGGCATAAGACCATGTTTATGAGTGACTTCAGAGTAAAACATTCGTGACGCTTTCAGTTTTAGTTGATATGTTTCCTCTGTTTTTTTAAATATAGTAACCCGAGTGTCCTGTTCTCTACCTACTCCTTCACCAGTACTAACCAACACATCCATGGCATATACCTATAAATAAAATAATTCACATATATTAAATCTTTTTACTACTCTAATTAATTACAAAATACATTACGTAAAATGAGTTATACCTCATAAGCTTCAAGAGTATATTTTTCATGTTCTTTCTTCTGTGCATCATTTGGATTTTGAATAATAGTTTTTTCTCCATCTATTTTAAATTGTTTCAATTGATGACTTAACATTCCTTCAATTGGTTTACATTTGTATACATCACAAATCTTTTCTACTGTTTCGGTTATCGTGTAAGTCTGTAAACAGAAAAAGAAATTGTAAACACGAAAAATGTTAAACAATTTAAACAATTTATAAGTACAAAGATATATATAACTTACCTCTGTACCTGGCTGTAAGAGCCTTAGTGCAGCTTGTGAAGCATAGTGTGCGGCTAACACTACATCTGCTTTTCTACCAGTAACTTTTTTTTGTGGTGAAGAACCTATAACAATTGTATGTGCCACAACTGCTATGAAGCCATCAACATGTGCTCCAAGATCTCTAAAAACAGAAGTCAGTAATTACTTTAAAACTTGAAAACATATAAGTTACATTTTATAATATTGAACATTATTCATGGATCATAAACTTACACTTTTACCATATCTTCATCTTTGAGTATGAGATCTGGTTCACTAGCAATTGGTGAAAAGTGACATATGCAATTGTTGACAGATATGCATGTAGGAAAAGCAATTCCCTTCTTCAGCTCTTTTTCTTTCTTAAACACCTTGCTAGTTTCATCCAATATCAGTTTATCTCCAAACTCACAAATTTCTCTTACTGATGCTCCAGTGACACATTTGTCTAAAACTTGTTTTAATACCCCTGGAATTAAATCACTTATTATACATAACTATTATTCAATTACTTTAAACATTAAATTAGATTTATAAAATATGTACAAAACACACAACATTTATACAGGTTTACATATCAATAGATATATAAATGAGTCATTCATTCTAAATATTTATTTTTCTATCGACTTTTACGAATAAAAGGAGAAAAAGAAAGATGTTAGTATGTCAAGATAAAATCAATGTATTTCTAATACATTCTACCTAAAGTAAAGATAGAGATTCATGAAGAATTTGAGTATTTTTGATAATATATACCTCCATATGTTTTATATTTTTAAAACTTTCATCTGATATGTAATTTTTTTTTTACACATTTAAAAAATGCTAGAATTTTGTAATTCTAATTTTGAACAATAAAAAATTAAGTTAAAATATTTTTGAAAAGTTGCAATATTTTATATCATTTAAATATTGCAAAAGATAAAAATTCAAGTTAAAAATTACATTTAAAGAAATGCAAGGTACATTAAAACATACGTTGCATACATAAGATGAAAAAGTTTAAAGTTTTTATGACTATATCTTTATAATCATTAATTCATTTTATAAAATATTTCCTCTCTTTTGCTACATGCAACATTTGAATGCAATCCAACAAATTCTATATTCCAAATATTTTGTGAATATTTGGAATCCAGATCTTTTTATTTATTACATATAGCATAAGGTAATATCACAACTAAGCATTGTACTCTTGTAATAGTAACAAATTCTAACATAAAATGAAGCTAACCACACAACGCAAAGTTTTTGTTAAATATGCGTCTGGCTAGTCTTCTTATAGAAATGGAAACACACTGAGACAGAAATACAAGCGGATTATGGTTTTTTTAGCAAGATTGTTACGCTACGATAATGAAATGAAACGGATGATTTTTCGGGTTGTGTAATAAAAAACTATTAATTCGTTGTCAATCGTTCGTTAGGAAACTAGAAAATAGTAAAAATATCGATACGTTAGTAAAATGTAATAGTCGGTGCCAGCTACCCCACATGGTAAGGGAGCCCGGCATTAGCGCGCCACATTCCATATGGCCAGACGGAAAATAAGACATTAAAAGACTCATAAGCGAATCGGGCAATTTCATTTTTACTCGTTCAACTTCATAAATAAATGTTAAGTCGTTTTCTTACGATTTACGATGTCACCAGCCATTTTATACTTGGTGACAACGATGTCTTCGGCGATGGTTCTCTCAGTTTCCTCTTTGTCCGCCATGTCTTCGATACACTATATTACGATCACGTGACTTAGAGCTTCTTTGCAGTTGCTTCCTGCTTAAACGGTCAGTGCTATCTTAATTAAATCATGCGTTCCGAAATTCTCCACTAATCTTTTAATCGAAAATTTCAAATAAATACGTACACATTGATAACACAAATATCGCTCTGATATTTTTGATATTTTCTTTATTCTTACAAATAAAAAAAAATTCTTTTCTAAATACTTGTAAATTGTATTTTAAGAAACATGATATTATTTTATGTGTTCTTATTTGTTTCTGAATCTTTTATATAATTGTAATTAAATTCAATATAAAAGTTCAATAAATTTGCAAAGATTGATCAATTTTTTAATTAAATTTTTATCAAAATATATTTGATTATAAAATATATTTTTATTAAAATTTATTTGATAAAAATTTTTAGTTGTTTCTGTTTAAAACAATACAAAATTATTTACATATTTCATTTACTTGGAATGTTTGCAGAAATACATAAATCTCGACTTTTGTAACGTATAAGGTTGGTCGACTTGCATCTTTTTGAAACGTGTTTCATGCCTTATGGATCCTGAGGTTGGTCGTGTGATCTATTGGAACGCGGATTTGATTTGCATTACTTTAAATTTGAATCGTAATTATGTCTTCAGGTAAATTATTTCATGAAATAAAATTAAATTACTGTTATTACGCTTATTCGGGAATATTTTTAATATGAGATTTCTCGATATTATTAAAATTTTACCATTTTTTATATAACATAACCAAACTTCTTACGAAACGCAGCATGCTTTCAATATTGCGTTTTTGTATATTGAAAATCGTCGTAAAAAATACTGATTTTGTTGTGCGTATATTTCTACCAGGGAAGAAAGGGAAAAAGAAGAAGTGCAAAACGGTCGATTTAATGTCATTCCTGGCTGATGGGGGTGGAACACCCACTGTGCCAGTTAAACCATTGACTAGTTGGATAGATGAAATGGAAGAAGAACATGGTAAAATATATTTACGTATTTTTTTAGCTTTTCTACATTTTTTTATTTTTAAGATCACATTTATCTTTGAACACTTATTTATGTGTGTGTGTATGTATGTATGTATGTATGCATGTATGTATGTATGTATGTATGTATGTANTATATATATATATATATATATATATATATATATATATATATATATATATATATATATATATATATATATACATATATATACACATACATACACACATGCATGCATACACACACATACGCGAGCGTATGCACACGCATATACACATACTTATATTTACTTATATATATAGGTAAGTATGTAACATGTTTAAAATTAGTCATTGCTTATTATGAAATCATAAAATATTTAAAAATTGCAAAGAATTGTAAATACATGTTAAATATTATTATATGACAGAAGGTTTTTCATCAAGAAGTAGTAAAGAACCAGTAATTCTACCCACTGCTCCGAGAGCTGCAAGAGGCCCCCGGGTGGCCGATGAAGATATTCCTTCTAATCCACCATATGTAGCATATCTTTCTAATCTTCCTTATGAAGTGGACGAAGTATATCTAACAGAATTTTTTTCAAACATGAAGGTTAGTATCTGAAGTGTTTCTTTTTATTAAGTAATGTTACAGAATTTATGTACTAACTTCAATTATTATTATTTATTAGATTTCTAACATACGTTTACCGAAAGATTCTAACAAACTTAAAGGGTATGGATACGTTGAATTTGAAGACCGTCAAAGTTTAATTGATGCTCTTTGTTTATCTAATACAGTAAGTTTAAATGTTTTAAAATCTGAAGTATTTCATTACAATAAAGCAATTGTGTGAATTATTTTCTAGCCTATGAAAACAAGAAGAGTACGAATTGATATTTCAAATAGTGTTAATGATGATCGTCGTGGAGGTCGAATGGGCCGAGATAATCGTAGAGATAATGATTATGATTCTGAGCGTACGTCTGGAGATTGGAGAAGTGGTCCAAGAGATGAAAATTTAGCATCAGATGGAGATTCATATCGGAGTCGATATGATAACAGAGATCGAAGAGATGACCGTGAAAGTATATATTATGAGTCTTATATATACTTATAATTAATTGATAGAAAATTATACAATTAATATGTTTATCAATTATAGGTTCTGACTATGATAATAAACCAGGTGCGTGGCGTGAAAATAGTGATAGAGCGAGACCAACGTTCAGAGACAGAGGGGGTTTTAGAGACGACGAAAAAGATAGAGAATGGTCTCGCTATGACAAAGGTAGCAGAGATCGAGATGGAGACAGAGGAAGTAGTTTTGGTCCGCGACGTAATTATGGTGATTCTGATTGGGATCGCGATGGCCTACGTAGGCAAGGGAAGCCTCCTATAGATAATAAATGTGAGTGTTATTTATTTTTATAATAAATAAAATGTATAAAAAACTTCTATTTTTTAACTAAAAAATATAAAATATTAAATATTATAGCTGAATTAAGGACTAGGCCGAAATTACAACTACAACCTCGTACTAAACCAATTGATCCTATTGTTGTGAAAGAAGAACAGCAATCTGCAGCTCCACCTGCTGCTGCACCCGCTTCTTCGACAAATATATTTGGTGCTGCAAAACCTGTAGATACCACTGCTAGGGAAAGGGAAATAGAGGAACGGCTTGCGAAATCGTACGCCGAATCAAAATCCAAAGAAGATGGGTAAGTTTGAACATAGATTTGCTTAAAATATAATTAAAACATAATTAAGATTGATTGTTCTTTTAGAGAGAAAGAACGCAGTTCTAAAGAAGGTACTTGGGGCAAACGTAATGGAGTAAGTTGGTTGTGTAAAATTTCATAACGTATCATGTTGCATTATTTTACCTATCACGTATTTATTATTCTTATTAGGAGGGTCGGGAGGAAAGAGAAAGGGGTCGGCAAACGTGGCGATCGGAAGATGACAGAAGCCGACGAAATGAAAGATCGGCTCCACGAAGTCAACCTGCTTATCCTGGTAAATTTAAATTAATTATAACTAATCTGAAAGATTTAAAATAATTTATGATGTGATACAATGCTTTTTTTGATAATAGATCAATACGGAGAGTCCAAAGGTCAACCTGTTTCTCGTGGCGGACGACCATCGTCTAGAGGTCCTCCAAAATCAAATGATACTCGTGGAGGAGAGAGGTAACATGATCATGCAGAAAGGTTCTATAAAAATAAACGTATATGTGTTAATTGTATTATACTTGCAGAGATCGAAGAGATAGAGAAAAAGATGTCAGTAGAATGCCAAAAGCAAAAGATGAACAAGCTCCAGTAAGTGAAAGATTTTTTTAATTAATCCTGATAGTAATTATAAATAATTTCTTTTTGTTTTAGAATTTTGTAGCTTCCAACAAGTATTCCATGTTACCTGATGATGTGGATCCCGACAATATCGATGATTAGTTCTAATCATTATACATCACCAATTAAATTGTGCCACATGCATCATAATTGGTCTATATATTCATATTATTAATTTGTTTTATCTATATTAAATACTTATCGAATTGATTCATGAATCAAACTCTAAGCTCTTGGTATTACTTTACAAGAATTATTGTTAATTTATATTTAATCTATTTTATTACTCGTAATATAATAACCTATCTACATATGTATTTACTTTATATTTCGATATAAATGTTCAATCGATCATTAAATCGATGTTAAAATTCGGATAACTTTAAAGAATTATAATGATTTTTTAAATATTCAATTCTGAAGATAATTACATCTATAAGACTTAGGAATTGGGACTTTATACGTCATATTTTATCCACTGTACAGTTATTGTACAATATGTAACTCATTTACATGTAAAATAATGCCAATTTAGGAGGAAAACAATTAAAATAATAAGTGTAATGGGAACTTGAGTGATGTATTATATTCTATTGCCTGGAATTCAATATTTCACAAAATCGTTGATAATTATAAAAAGGAGTAATTGCAACATAATTAAACATCGAAAGATTGATACCATAAAATAAGTACGATAAAGTCTAAGCCATAATATAGCATAGAAGTCACTATATTAATAGTCATCGTATCATGACAATATAAGGAAGCATATATGACTGAACAATAAAAATTTTGTTACAATCATTTTATTATAATAATGTTTCTAAATAATTATGCTCTAAACATTTATATATATATTAAAAATTATGTATTTACAATCTTTTTTTGAGATATGTACATACTGACTTAATTTCCATTTACTGCTGAGTAGTTTGTGCTAATTGGCGTAACTGTTTCAATACAGTCTCTAAAAGTTTTTTCTTATCCCGTTCGCTTTTCTTTAATACAGAAAATACTGTTTTTTTGTCAGATTCTTTTAATCTGCAAACATAATACGTTTAAAATGTAGATATTAATAATGTAGGACAGTATTACATGAAATGAAAAAGCATGGTACATACTTCTCTAACAAAAGTACAGCCATGTTTGGAGTCACCAGATGATATTTACTTGAGTCATGACCATAGTCATGAAAATAAGTAGGCCAGTCCCAACTCATAAATAAGTCTAGTAATTGTCTTAATTGTGCAAAATGTTGAAGTAAGGTACCTTCGGGTAAACCAGAAACAGGTTCCGAGGCAGCAAATTCTAAAAATTAAAAGATTTTTTCTAATTTATGTTCGAATCAATTCAATATCGCCACAAAATATTTTGTAATCATATATTGTACATCTTATTTAAGAATAAAAAACGGAAACACGTACGCTCGCATTGTATTGTATCTAAATTAACTTGTTGAAGAGCACCCATCGATATCTGTTTTACATCGTCACTAATTAATATGCCTAATATAGATTTTGCTATATGAGAACAGGCAGACTGACAGGCAACTTGCGCAACCTCATCCTAAAATATAAATATTCGCCTTAATTTTTATGAAATATTTACAAAAATGTAACAGTTACAAATTTATAATATGATTAAGATGTACCGGTAAATTAGTAAAACAAGTAAAAGTACTTTGCAGAAACGCTATGAGATCGGTAATAAAGCCAGACGCGTGCCCTTGAGGTTCTGCCAAATTCCAGTCATAATTTTCTAATTCTAAAAATTCATCAAGTTTATTCTTTAATTTCTCACAGATTTGTTTTTCGGCGTCATCCCTCGCAACTCTGAACATAGTTGATTCAACACCCATACTACTTAGTTGTCCTTCATGTGGGGTTCTGAAAAATTATTAGACAATATATATATATATACATATATATATATATATATATATATATATGGAAAAAAATAAATATTCATAATTTATTTACTTAATTTACCCGGTAATATTAGATACAAATTCTTCTAAATATTTCGTAGATTTTTCAAGATAACCGGTATTTATTATAATTTGAACCACTTGTAGAAGAGCCAATGATGGTTTTCGAAATAATGATGATAAACATCCGCTAAATGTCCTTGTTAATAATAAATTCGTCGATTTGCAGATCATTTCGTCTATTTCTGTTTGAGTGAAATTTAAATCTTCCGAAAATTTTAAACAAGCATAGATGAATTCTTTTACTTGTTGATAAACTTTTGGTACCATATCCGAGAACGGAAATTTTTTAGGAAATTCTACTTTTTGTAATTCTTCGTCATGGTATGGAAACAAATCAAGAACATTATCATATTCTTCCTGCGTTGTAACCTATAATATATCAGCAAGTAAAATGTATAATAATTCTGTAATGTAAATGAATATACCTGAATTGGTAAGAAACTATCTTCATCCAAAATGTCTCTAAACACTTGAACCCAATGTTGCATGAGTACTTCATTATAATGTACTCGAATTTCTTGTAATAGATCCCAAAGTTGGCCTACAGAATAGCCATAATTCTGTTTCCCAGAAAGAAAAAAATATATTAAAAAATACTAGTACAATGGAAATACATTAAGTTACTTACTCTTAACGTTGTATTGAACAACATTATAAGGTTTTTTATTTTTAATATAAGTGTTGCATCTGTGCAGTAGGCCTAAAAACGATAAAAATATTATAATATTTATTCATATAAATTACTTAAAAATAATTTCGTTATTACTTACGGAATGTGTACGCAATGCATTCACGATTGTTGATAATGCCATTTGCCATAACTCATCTAAATAAGCACGCGTTGCTAAACCATTGCCAGTATTTAAAATATGATCTTCTACAACAAAAAATCCTACAATGCCTTGTAAATATATTTGATAACCAGTTATGCTCTCATGCTAAAAATACAAAATGAGAAATTGAATTAGAAGTATGAAAAACTCATTGTATTAATAATTAATAATATTCACCATATTAATAGGTGATTGTAGAACTAATCTAGCTTGCTGTTTTCTTTGTTGTCTATAGTATGCTTTAAATGTTTCTCCTTCACGAAGCACAGTATAAATATGCATACAACGATAAACAGGACTAAAATCCATTAAATCTTGAGCACTTAATTCTTCTTCTGACTCATTTGATAAAGAATTTGTTGTATGTAATCTTTTCTTTTTTCTACCAATAATCTCTGCTTCAACGGTTAATTGTTCTTGTGTCTAATAACAAAAATAAGTCAATGCATAAAATTAAATTTTTTGCATAAAGATTAGATCTTTACACAAAACTTATTACTCACATGTCTCATAGCAACTTCACCAATTTTTGGTGAATATTTCCTAATATTTTCTAAAAAGTCTCTTAAATCAGACATGGAAGCATCCTTTATATTTTCACGTAGTCTAAAATTATTGTAATCTATCAATCATTTAATGTCTGTGTAAATTACTCTTTAGTTACATTTTGCTGTAAAAGTAAATGGTCTTTTATCTTGTGATATTACTCACTGTGGAATTTGTTGAGTAATTTGTGAAGAAAATCTGTAATTTGTTACTTTTGGTAAGTCATGATGCTCTAGCTGCTCCAACGTCTTTAAAGCTGGATAATAACGTTTGTCTTTCAGCTGTTTTTGTAACTTTGCATAGGCAGCTAAAACAGGAAGACACATAGTGAGACTATCCACTGCTGCGGCCATATTACTCTCTATTTTGCGTGCTTTAACAAGTTCCTCTCCTTTTTCTATTACTTTGGTAGCAGTAGCGGTAATACATCTATCAAGTTCTAATATTTCGGCCTATAAAACAGACATTTCAATCAAATCGTACTATCCTACTTCATTAGAAGAAGATCAATTTTAAGATGTAAACTAACATTAAGCTGTTGCGCTTGAGATCTGACTTGCAGGAGTTCTCTGATTGAATCAATGAAACCTTGATAATGATGATTGCACATTCTTTCAATATCTTTGTCATGTGCCTTGATACGCTCATCAAGTTTTTCCATAAATTTTTGATGTTCGTGGCCATCGTAGATTGCTCTAGAAAAGAAAGAGAATAGAAAGAATAATACTTGTATCAGTTTCTATCTTTTATTTCGAAACTTTCTCTTCTCAGTAAGCAACTGATAATGATAATACCTGAAAACAAGACCTATACTATTAGTATCTGTTGATTCTATTTCATACAACAAATATTCGTGCTTTGGAACCATAGTTGACAATAGATTGTCAACTTGGTTAGTTGACAACCTTGACATAATAGTACCCTAATTTAATTTTTCTTTATTCTAGTACCGGGGATGTCCATCCCCGTTTTTAACCCTTCGAATGCGCATATGCACGATACATGTTGCATCTGCGTGAAGGGATGCCACCCCGAAAGCGCGATTTTCGACAAAATTTTCATTGAAGGACGAACGTTTAATCAAACTTACATACCGAAAAGTCGGTCCCAAATAATCGTCTATACCTTCTATTTCTTGGATAAGAAGATCGTATCGTTGCATCTCGATTAAATCCATTGATTAAATAAGAAAATGTCAACAATTTTCGGTAAATGAACTTGTGCGCCCTATATCAGTATACCAATAAGATTGGATTATATTCCATCCGTTGGTTAACAATGAATTATGTTACATACGAAAACTCTCCGGCTTAATTATAACATTTCTGTTAATATTCTTATTCGAATAACATTGCCAATATCATTAAAACTGCCATCTTCGTTAAACTATGCAAGTACATATGTATGTTACACTGTATACACATTTATTATGTTTCATACATACATATGTAGGTATAAAATGTGCAAACGTGACAATATATAGTGGTCAGTGAACTAACTATAATAGGTATAAAATATTTACACGTATTACAATTACGATATATAAATTACTAAGATATATAAGTTTTAAATAAATTCTACAAATTATTTGTGACAAATTACATATAGTTTAGTTTAATTGTGCATATACCAGTTCAAAGTTAGAGAAGTAAATTTTTTGAAACAATATTTGTGATTATTCATTTAATAAATACTGTATCAGATGAATAATCAATTGTGCAAAGTGATTAAAAATAAAATACATTGTATCATATGTAGAATATAAATTTAATAATTAATATTAAATTTTAATTTAACAATTTATTAAAAAATACATACAAGTATCTGGCTTAATTTTTTTTTTGGAACATTATGTTAGTTTAACCGGTATTACATTAAATTAACAGCAAGTTGAGTAAAATAATGAAAAATATTTAGTATTGTTGTTATTATATCTTATTTTACAAAGAAATTTAAAAAGAAAATTACAGAGCTGGTTGAAAGTTGTAATCAGCTATTGTTTCAGCCGCTGCATTTGCATTGTTTTCGATAAAATTAGCATCTAACGAAAAAACATAAGTTTGCTCAGACGGATCTTCCTCAGCAAGTGAAATATACTCTACATTCAATGAAAAGGGACTTTATTTATTTGTATATTAAAAAATTTGATAGAAATTATTTAGAAATAATTGTTTCATGCCCTTTATTGAAAGGAATGTTTCAAAATAGGAAAAAATTTATTCGTGACATTAAGTAAAAAAAAAAAAATACATTATAATTTTCATCCGAACAGACTGTACATGCATTTGGCGTCTGGGTTGGAGACGCCAAGACATCGGATGCAGTTTCTGTGCACTGTGAACCCCGGTTGATTCTCGCCTATTGATTGTATCATAGTAACAGCGTACTGAATATTCTTTTTCTACTCAATTTATCGAGAAATTCAGTGAACGAAAACGAGAGTTACAAGGAAAACTAAGACATAAAGTAAGTATAACCGTTGTGAAGTTAATAACTATCTTCAAAGTCATTGGCGCGCAAGCACTTTGATGTGTCGCTATTTAAGACTTGTTTCTACAGTTTATAAAGGATCCATTGCGAACGTTTATCCTTTCAAATATATTGAATTTGCCTGTTTTTATCAATCATTTCTAACGGTGAAGTAAAACTAAAATACGCACTATGCGCAACGATTTTTTATAGCAGTTTTATATTACTTATAATTAACCAAATTTCCGAAGTGTATGAAAAAAAAAGTTTTGTGTGTACCTCTGAATTTTTAGGTAAAAAATGACACCAGAAGGGTATACACGCGTTTATGTCGGCGGATTAAACGAAAGCATTAAAAAGGAAGACCTCCAGACAGAATTCGAAAAGTACGGCAAGCTAAACAAAGTTTGGGTTGCATTTAACCCGCCAGGTTTTGCATTTATTGAATTTTTAAATATGAACGAGGCAGAACTTGCTTGCAGCAGTATGAATGGCACAGAGATTATGGGTGCTAAATTAAGGGTGGAAATTTCACGGGGTAGAGGTCGTGGTGGAAATAGGGCTGGTATGGGAGGATTCAGAGGTGGTCGTGGTGGTGCAGCTAGGGGCTATGGGTCTGCCGCCTCCATGGCGTTTAATTATAGAGGAAATAATATGTATGCAGATTATGGAGGTTATTATGCAGGCAAGGGTGGTGGAAGTAGAAGTAGAGACTACTACGGAGAAGATTATATGACTAATCGTGCCAGTGGGTATGTTACGCGAGATGGATATACACAAGATGTCTATAATAGCGGAGATCCAAATGCTGATTATTATACCAACAAAGGCACTGGTACATCGAGGTATCGAAGTCGTTCCCCAGCTGGTCGTGGCAGGTATTGATAATACCAAGTCCTTGTAAAATTATATTGTGCTTTCATGAATTCCATGAAGTTAGTTTGTTGAATGAATTTGTTCAAAGATGTAACAGTGACAATTGATTAGTCTACATTATTTGTACTACAGAAACAAACATTTTGGTCACATTTAAACAAGAATAAAAATTCTGGGCCAATTTTAAAAAATGTTGTTAGGGAAATGAATATTCTAAATAATATGTATATGTGGGATTTAAATCTACAATGCACAAAAAATGTGCATACACATAAAAAAAAAGATAGTTGCATGATAATAATATTACCAATTGGCACTGAATAAATCTCTTTGCATGTGCAAATATATTGTGCAATCATAAATTACTTTACAGTTAATGAAAGTTATCAGCTAGATGAAAGCAAAAATTATGTGACATTCTATTTTGCGCTTCCATGTTCACAGTCATCGTCATCTTCGTGAATGCACATAAAAGATCTACACTGCATTGCCAATCTGAACAACGGGCCAATCAGCTGCCCATCCTGATGACTACATTTCTATCCAATCTACGCAGCGACCTGTATATAGACAAGAACTACCATTGCAGATCAAGTTGTGCAATACCATTTGTATAGTTTACTTTAGTTCTACAGTTTGTAATCGTTTTCAGAAACATTACCCATTACTCACAAACAAAAGCGTTACTGCAAACTTTATATAACATGAAAATGAATCATGAACAAAATTTGAATCAAGTTATAATGAATCGTAGTCTAAACTATTTATATACTCAATTTTTATTTTATTTAAATCTGGGGTATTACTGTATTTTATAGTTTTGAATAAGTCTTTTTTTACGTATATATTATTTTTTTTTTTTTTGTGTACTTTTTTAAGTTTCTTACTACATAGGAACTGAATAAAATATATTTAAAAACAGTTTAACATACATTATAAAAAGATAAGATTTTTCATAACTGATATCTTTGTTTCTTCTTATTAACATTTAATCGTCTATAATTTTTTATCATCTATCATAGATGGATAGTATTATTTAACTATTATTTAATGAATAGTAATAATATTATTTTAAAAATGAAAAAGAAAAATAAGGAAAATGCCAATTTTAGCCAAATGCACACTACTGCTCGTATATATTGGACTGTGCAACTTTGCCTTATGAATTTTTATACGCCATGCAAAATTAAAATTTAATAAGCTGCAAAATTGATTCGTTATTTATAATTTAAATCATGGCCTTGGAGTATATGTGCAGAAATAGTATTGCATTTGGAAACTTTGGAGTATTTATTATGGATACTGAAGTGAAAGATAAGGAAATTGTGGTAATAATGTTTACCATTGCTGTAAATGATGTGGAATTGCATATCTATTAAATGATTTGCTCTCACTACTCTCCGCCACCCTGCCTGCCTGCTCTTGCCTACTTTTCTAGAATTTTCAATATTTATTAATTTCTTATTTAAATTGATAAAAGAAAAAGTGAAGAAACTTCTTAATAATGACGAAGTTTAAAAGACGGTTGCAAAATTGTTCAAGGTTTATGTAATACTCGTAGATAGTACTTTGTATTTTTATGGATGCGAAAAAATTTAAGTGACGATTTTTATACATTTCTATCTTCTATTAATAACTTTCAATAAGGAACATTAACGTAAGTATAACGTATAAAAATTAATGTTAATGTAAATATTTTTTATTTTCAACGTAACGTTAAAAATAAACATTAATATAAGTATAACAGTAAAAGAAGTTCTAAAAAACTTTAACAAGAGATATTTTTAAGCTGAAATTAATTTAATTGACTTCTTATTTTTTTATATCAATTATACTGTTAGTATTAATAATCATTTTTTATAAAAATTAATAAATGCAAGTCGTTTATTTCTTATATACATATTTTTATGCTTAATATTATTTTATACTAGCTAATAAATTTGATCTGCGTTCGGTATTTTGAAACAATGCTCTAATTAACTGTTTAACTTGGGATGCTGTAAATTCTCGCGCAAGTGGTCCTTTACCATTATCCCATCTCATTTCGATTTCTTTTAGTGATGCACCCAATACTTGAATCAATTCTAAAAATTTCTCCCATTTTCTAACGTGTTGATGAATCTTTTGATTATCCTGAAAACACAAAATTGCTCAATGTTATTATCAACGAAAAGTAATATCATTCCAGTTTTATTTTGCAGGAAATTCCTAACGAAATAGTATTTTAATAAGTTAATTTTCATGTAATCTTTTTATATAAACTAGAATAAAAGTTACTAAAATATTGAATCATATTTTTTTTTTTATACAAACTTACCGGAAATATTTGTGGTGCACGCTTAACAATCATATTAAACAATGTTACTAATTCAGTTGCAACATCGGCGGGAATGTCTTCAACAGATATCACTTTGATTATTAAGTCTTCAACCATTGAATTCATAATGCATCCTAAATTTATTAATGCATAAAATTTATTTAATTATCAGTTAATAAATATTAAATATTAAGAAATATAAAAAAATTTGTACTGGCCTACAGCTCTGCAATAAATATTCATAGGTAACATATCTATCCAAACTGTTTTTAATAATTCCAGCTGTCTAATGCACTGTCTCATTGCACGTTCAGTATTGGGATGTAATTCGGAAGTTTGACCCAATGCAGACAAATCTTATTTTGAAATAAATCATTGAAATTATTCGTCATTTTAAAATATTTATAACTATCATATAGTATTGTATGTGTACTTACCAGAATGACTAAGAATACCAATAATAATATCTTTTTGATATTTCATATGTTCTAAAAGACACGATGATCCGACATCTCTTAATACTAATACTTGATCTGCGAAAGTTAAGTTAAGATTATGCAAGGATTCTGGTAACTTGTCCCTATATTCGTGTCCCAATGTGAGAAGATGGTGCGCAAGATACATGCAATTGTTATGAAACATAGCTACACAAAAAAAATATATGTATATATTATTAACATAAAAAAAAGAGATTATTTCAATTGATATGTTATACATTAGCTTCTTACCAACTTGATGCGGTACTGTTTCTAAAAGAATTCGGTGATGTTCAGGTACTAATCCTGCATACATTTCAAAAATATTTCTACAAGTATAAAATAACTGCACAGTGCAGGAATCCGAACTGTTACAAGCTTCCTCTAAGATATGTCTCGCGAGATTTAACGTCTCCTTCGCACTCGTGCTGAAATATAATTTCCAACGTAAGTTTGGTTTTAACTTAATTGAAAATTTTTGGGATAATTTCAATACCTTATTTGACATTTAGGAAGCTGAAACGAGTTTTCGCTTAATTTTTTATCGGCTTTTAATTCATTAAAATCATATGTATCTACTTGAAATTCAAGCGGCTCCTAAAACGTTAATAAAATTAAATAATACATTACATTCCGTCATACAGTGACATCTCCAAATAAACTTGCCTGTGGCTCGTATACAATGCAATCATGTAAATCTTTTTTCATAATGGTACGCGCTTTTGCCAATAAATCCTGGCAAATTTTTTTTATAAACAGCTTGTCGATATTCATCGTATATTCTGATAAGAAGAGTTGGTCACTTGTAATGAAACCTAAAATATCGAACGTTGTTACAATTATATTTAGCCGCAAGAGAACTAAAAATAAATTTACGAATTCCCTACCAATTTTGACCAAAAAGTACTGAAAATCATTGATTGCTTGAACGATGGGAGCAAAATTTTTTAGGTCGACGCTCGATGTTGGCGTGATTCGTGAGATGCAATCATTCTTCAAGGATGTTGATAATCTTTCGAGCAAATGAGGCTGTATTTCTTTCAGGAATGTTTCGTCATCGTGCACTGTAAACTGAAAATGTTGATGAAGGAATTTGAACAATAATTCCAGATTGTGAAGTACGCTTTTATAGCCGTGAGGTTTGCTTTTGTTCAGTACTTCAACGGTGAAGATTTTCTCGTTGACTACGTATACGGAACAATTGTCATTGATGATGGGGCCGATTATGTGATCCATCAGCGTCGTTGAGAAACTATGGAGATAACTCGAAAGATTATCGATACAATATAAACTCTGAATTAAATCTTGTGTATCGTCCATTTCGTTTTTTACGGTCAACGTTATAGCCTTTGCATCCTCTTCGTCGATGCCGGTCCAACAAATCCGTTCGTGCAATAACGACGACGTTTCGGACAAAAATGATGTATAAAGATTTAAGTACTCTTCCTCGATTGCCATATAAATATCAAGATCGCGTAAATCCGTTTGTGAATTGTATAGGATAGCTTGCATGTGGCACAACGTCTCAGCTGCGTTCATGTATCGTTTTCCCTCTTGGTAATTTTTCACAGACTTTATGCATTCGTGCAGTGTTAAAAGTTGATTAGAAAGCTGTAACATTACGTTCGACTCTTTCAATGCTTGAGAGAGGGTTTTCAATTCCTTTGTGGAACCACATAATTCTATCTTCACCTGAAATACGTGATACATAACTAATAAGCTTATTTATATTTTATACCGAGCACCTTTAATTTATTAAATGTACCTGGTCGTCTATTCTCTTCTGCAATGCGTTCATTTTTTCGAGTAGTTTCTCTCCCTTGGATACTAGATGCTGATCTTTTACAAGCTTCGACGTGAATTCCACGTAATTATCATTCATGAAATCCTTGACATCGTATTTCAATCTCGTTATTTCTTTCTGTATCTCCGATATCTTCTCGTGTAAATTGATTTTCTCCAATCTTCCTGATTGAAAGAGGGAACACAAAGAAGTTTGAAATTTTTATAAATAATACATGAATCTTTTACTTCAACGACGTGAAGAAAAAACAGAGATATACTAATTATATCGAATAATATACAAGTTAATTATATTTTCATATTTTTTATTTGAATATTTTTGTAATCAATTTCATATTTGAATTAAATTGAATGTATGAATTCACATACGTACCCGCCGTGGTCAATACGTCAGTTAAAAATGATGTCATTTTGTCAAGACGTTTTAGTGTATTTAGACGTAATTAAAAACAGTTCCAATTGCTCTACTATTAATTTAACCTTAAGTACAATCACCTCATACTTATACATTAATAGTTATACGATAGTAAATAGTAAAAAATTGGATAAACATACATTAGTTTACGTACACCTCACTATAGCATAAACAAGATAAATAATAGATTCGACGTTCAATCCTATTTTGCCCATCTATGATTTCTTTATCATTCTCATATCACATGCGACATTACCGATTTATGCGAATCCGTCGTCACAGACGAAGTATGTATATAAACATGACATGTGCCCTCGATCTACCAACTAGATTTGTTAATTTATAAATTTTTATTCGCGGATTACATAGATTGAACGGAACAGATGATAGGAGAAAAGCTGAGAACCTAGTTACGAAGATACGGTTGCAAAAATTCACAAATTAATTCGTTTCATTAGGTTTTTATTCCAAATAAAAATTTGATCAGTTCATGGACTCTGAAACACTATCCACCACGTAGCGATGACACGATGGTATTAATTTCATTACTGTCCTCGTCGTACACTGTTGCTTTTCTTGTCTACCGCGCATATATGTCTGTCCTTGTCGCACGCTGTTGCTCTCCTTGTCTACCGCGCGAGAATGTCTGTCCTTGTCGCACGCTGTTGCTTTCCTTGTCTATCGCGGACGTATGTCTCTCCTTGTCGCACGCTAGTGCTCTCCTTGTCTGATGACGATAGACAAGGAAAGAAATAGTGTGCGACAAGGACATCTTTCGATCTATTGAAAAAAAAATTCAACTTTTTATCACACACGTTTTTCCGGGACAAAACACACATAGAAAGAAAGCGGGGAGCCCAATTTTAAGGAGTCATATAAAAAAGTTTGCAAATTATTCCTCTTAATTAGGTTTTTTTCATAATTAGTGCACTGTCACAAAATGGACATGATGGCGCCATCTAGCGGTAGCTCAGTGGTACTAATTATTTATAAAAATACTTATTTCTGCATTTTGCGGATCAAATGAGGTATGAAAAGAAAGCTAAGGGTCTAATTAGAGTAATACAATCGCCAAAGTTCACAATTCATTTCGCTAAATTAGGTTTTCCTAAACCATTCACAAATGTTTCCTCTTAATTTCTTCTCGTAATTTGTGGAAAAACAGTCACCTGTCAACGTTTAGAAGCAGCGGTGGCGCCATCTATTGGCAACTCGGTGGTACTAAAAGTAGAAATTTCTGTTTTTAGTACCACCGAGTTGTCAATAGATGGCAGCCACCGCTGCTTCTAAACGTTGACAGGTGACTGTTTTTCCACAAATTACGAAAAGAAATTAATTAAGAGGAATCATTTGCGAACTGTTATGGTTGCGTCTTCAATTTTAGAGACCCTTAACTTGCGTTCTGTGTTTTGTTTAAGTATAGGTTCCGTATATAAAGAATGTTTCAATTTTGTTTACGTTAGCAGTAGTACCAGTAGTGAGTACATAATTTCGCGCAAACTATAGTGAATATTAGATTCAGATTTATTTGCAAACGTAACTGATAGCATTATCTTTGAAATATGTGCTCGTGGAGTGCAAATTAGTAGCGTGAAAAATTAAAATTAATTATTCCCCTTATATTGTTATAGATCGTTTAGTTCCACGAGTCTGCCACAACGTGGCGCTAGTGTTTCTTACCCCGTAAAACAGAGAAATTTTCATATGCAAAAAAACCTAATTTAGCGAAATGAATTGTGAACTTTGGCGATTGTATTACTCTAATTAGACCCTTAGCTTTCTTTTCATACCTCATTTGATCCGCAAAATGCAGAAATAAGTATTTTTATAAATAATTAGTACCACTGAGCTACCGCTAGATGGCGCCATCATGTCCATTTTGTGACAGTGCACTAATTATGAAAAAAACCTAATTAAGAGGAATAATTTGCAAACTTTTTTATATGACTCCTTAAAATTGGGCTCCCCGCTTTCTTTCTATGTGTGTTTTGTCCCGGAAAAACGTGTGTGATAAAAAGTTGAATTTTTTTTTCAATAGATCGAAAGATGTCCTTGTCGCACACTATTTCTTTCCTTGTCTATCGTCATCAGACAAGGAGAGCATTAGCGTGCGACAAGGAGAGACATACGTCCGCGATAGACAAGGAAAGCAACAGCGTGCGACAAGGACAGACATTCTCGCGCGGTAGACAAGGAGAGCAACAGCGTGCGACAAGGACAGAGATGCACGCGCGGTAGACAAGGAGGGGAACAGCGTGCGACAAGGACAGACATATATGCGCGGTAGACAAGGAAAGCAACAGTGTACGATGAGGACAGTAATATATATATTAGTTCTACTGTTTTACCGCTACACGACGCTAGCATTTCAATGCCTGTAGCGGCTAGCATATCGAGTCTTTCCTTAGTATAGCAGTTCCAAAGACACGAATATCACAAGCCGCTTAGATATGGCTCGAGTGCGATCTGCAGGTTGAGCGTGCAGCGTGCGGAACATCTCTAGTATGGGTGCCGTCTCCTGGCCCAACCTAGAGGTTCCTAATAAATCTCTGGAGTAGAGATTGCAGTCATCAGCCCCCCCCCCCCCAATGAGTCGGGCGGCGATCGAGACAAAACGCACTCCACCTTCTATATCATTTATGAATCTAAATCTTATCACCATCATCCTACCTCTTTCTTAAACGTATCCATATAACATCCGCTACATTGTCTGCACAGATGCTGCTATTTATCGGAAGTTACTAAAACTAAATTAATATCATGTTAATTTTTAATTCTAACTACATGCAATAGGTGACAGCACATATTATATTCTTGTCACATCTTTAATATTGCTGCTAATAGCGCCATTGCCATCGTTCGCCATTTTACATCTTTCGAAATCGTATGTTCGAAAAAATCTGCAGAGTTGTTAATATCTGCAAACTTTTCACTTATAATTGAGGCCAAATATTTATTATTTATTTAAAATTTTTTAATGTTACTGTTTTAATGTTAGTTCAAATAACATCATAAGATGACTACATTTTTTAACGTTTTACATTTTAAACGGTCAATATTTTGTATATGAAGCAACGGTCAATATTTTAAACGAAACAACTGTGTAAAGAGTCGAACAGGATGGTACTATATTATATATACAAAAATGAACAGTAAGTCATTTAAAATACATTAATAAATACGTATTTATCCACTTGATTTAATAAAATGATAGGAAAGTATATTCTTTCTTCTTTCTCATTTGAATATCTGAAACTCAAATGAGCAACTTCATTACAAAATTTATGCAAAACGATTATTTAAACAACTGGCTACTAATGCATAGATATTAACAATATTTTTAAAATTAACATACACTTATATACCTGAATTAACAGAATATCAAGAATGTTATACGATACTTTCTTTCTTTTTTTCTTTTTCAACAGGTAACTCCGCGCAATTTCAAATTCCTAACAAAATGAAGTACAGCGTGACAGGTACCATGAATCCAAAAAGGTATATCTCAAAGTCGCCACACGCCACAGACAAAGACAGGTTTTCTCAGGGAGGAACTCACCTGTTTCACAACCTGCGTGACGTATTGTGCCGCACCGTGTCACGTGACAAGCTTTACCTTTCAGCGTTCGTAGGTGGTAGTAGTAATAATACTATAGCGGTTTACGGTAGACACGGTAGTGGGCTTGGGGAACGACGCGAGGCAAGGCGCGACCACTGGAAACACGACTGGGAACATAAACGACTCCGAGAACCAGTCAAACCGCGCCCAACGTGACGCCAGGTGACTATTCTGCCGCGACGAGTCTCCATTCTACGATAAACGTGTACGTTTTGCTTGTTAACAAATACATCTTGCAGATCAGAGGTCTTTTAACGGCGAAACGTTCCTTTCTCGAGCGCAACGAACGTTCGTCGCGTACCAGTCCATTGAGAAATACCTGGCGTGAACTGTGGTGTGATTCAAGCGGTGGAACGGAAGATTTAATGGTGAACAGACTTTCTCGCAGTACTGGTCGGTCGGATGCACGATAACGAACGCGGCATCTCTCGGCATCTCGCGGTTGGTGAGGAGCTCGGCGACGGGGAGTGTTAACGGCAACGGTGTAAGTCGCCACAGTCGAGCTCAGATCTCTCGCGCGTGAAGGAGCACGGCGGCCCAAGAGAGGGAAGGTTAACGCTCGAATTTAAAATACAGTGCACCTCTTGCGTTTGCGTGCTGGCCCCGGCATTGCCGCGCGTGGAGCGTTCGATCTCGATCGTGATCGAGAAGCGTTTCGGCCGGGTATCTAAGAATTAACAAAGTCAATTTTATAATACGTTGAATTGAATTGAATCGATTGAAAGAGAGATTTGTAATGTCGAAACAGAGTATAACGAATGAGAGTAAACGATGAACGATAATACGTACGTCGAATCGTGTCCGATCCTGGTGGCAATTGGAAATCACATTCGGATAACCCAACATACGTAAAATGACATATCGATGGTAATCAGCGGCAGCGTAATGACAGTGAAAGTACAGACTTCGATTACGAGCTACGATGATCGAATCATCGTGTGACGCATCCCAGTATTGGTGACGAATAACGAGGACTTGTTGCAAAGCGGCAAGGGAACTGCCCCAACCTGAAAAACTCTACACTCTTAGCGTCTATTATCGATAAATAAATATCGTTATCTATTTGAAAGCCGGCGCGCGTCGTTCAATCGAGATGTCGCAACAAGTGTCATCGAGGTGCAACGAAACTTTCGAACGAAATTCAGAAACTGCTCGCGCGCTGTTCGCGAGATCATCAACGACTAACGTTTGATCGAACGCTTCACTTGACTTTAACGTAGTTTGAATTTATTTCAAGTTTTACGTCCCGTGTAGTTTGAAAGGAATTGCTTGAACGAAATGAAGTTGTAAGTAACGTGTCGTTCAACGTCGTAACTGAAATTGCAAATTGAAAAAGAAACGGAAGACCTCGGAGTGCATGCACGAAGAAGAAAATGCGTGTTCTGTGTTTGTTGCTCACTTTCCTGGCTGTTGGCGGACAGTCGGAGGAGGTGTACGATCAATCTTCCATCTATTATACCGAGCCGACTTTTATTAACGTGAGTAACAGCAATGGCGGCCTGTCGGAGTTGCACGGTGGTCGCATTGTTCGCGGCCAGAGATTATTGGAAAGATCGAAGAGCCCTTATCTGGTGCGAGAGGATTTGTTCGTGGAACGCGAGGGCGAGCTGGTGATTGAGCCAGGGGTGGAGATCCGGTTTGGACCCATGGTCGGAATCACGGTTCGTGGTATCATAACTGCAAAGGTAATGCTTTAGAAAATGGTAAAATCTTAAGTTTATATTACACTTCGATTATATAGCGTGAAATAGGCTTCGTATTAGGACAGACGATGATAATTTTAATAATTTTTAATAATTTTCATGTGAGAGATTGGAGCAAAAATAATTCAAAGAGAAAGACGAAATACTATCATTAGATAATTAATTTAATTTGGATTAATAAATTATTGAATTATACAATAAGTTCGTAAAGATTATCAGTTGTTGTTTTCAGATTTAGTTAAAGTATTGAAAATCAAGAACGACAAGGTATGCGTAGTTAAAAGATGCAAATATAAATGATGTAATTTATGTAGTTATTATTTTATACTACTATTAACAGGTATATTAATAATATAATTAATATGGTAAATAATATTAAACCTTTAGAATTTCTATTCGTAGTCACAATTATTGCAAAATAAATTTTTGCAAAAAATGCATGTAGAAAAGCAATATTATCATGCTATTAATATTATTTGCAATACTTTGTAAACGTTATTACAATGACTTTTCATTCGCTTCAAAGTTACGAAACGAAGCTTCTGATAAAAATAATTCGCCAAAAAAAGAGAGAAGGGAGATGTTACAAAGTAACTTAAATGAATAAATCACAGAGATTACAGAAGAATGAATTAATTGGGGATAAAAACGGGAGCCATCATTATGAGCGTTTATGTATGGACAAGCTAACGTTGAATGAACGTGAGTCATCTAGGCATACGATTGTGCACGTGTTACTACGGACGTGCCAGAAGTGACGGATGCTAATAATTCAAGTTCTCAGAAAATTTGACGACTACGCTCCTCCAATTAGATTTTACCGTAACACGCAAGATAGTCTCTCTTTGCGATCTTCTAGAAAATTTAGTAATTAATTCCCTGCTACTCGATGATTTTACTTCGTGATTGGAATACTCCTTGTATAAACCAGAATAAACGTAACATTACTCAGAATCGATATTACTATGGTTGATAAGCGATAAGAGGCTGCATCTACGTTTTTGATAGGTCAGAATCCACACCGATGATTCAGTTTTACAGAGTATACTACGAAAATACTAATTATTAATTTTTGTCTTTCCTATATATACACTTAATATTGATCTCTACTAAATAATTAGAAATCTCACGATTTCTTCAATAATAAACTACAGAATTAATTTTTCATTACATTCAAGCATAATTGCTAGAATAATGTACAGGTATACATTGAATGATAGTTTCGTAAATAAACATAATATATAATTTGATAAACTTCATATTATAATAAAAATACAACATAGAATTATAATATGAAGTTTATTATTATTGGAGTGTATTAAAATTTAAAAATATAAAAATGCACACGATGCATACAATATCGTTATAGATTTTATTCTGTCTCCTTCAGGCTTCGATTATCATTTGACTTACAAGACGAGAAATCAATTAATCAATCAAGCCTTTAGTCATAAATTAATAAGAAGAAACTAATATAGAAGAAATTAGTAATAACATGATATAATTAATAGAAATAAAAAACAGAACTACAGATATAATATACTTATAGTGGAAATGAAGTGGCATATAAGAATATAGGAGATTCTTAAGTAAAGAGTTTATTATGTCCAAGGGATTAGAAATCAGAGTGACGAATAAACTCGTCTTCTCCAATTAACAGTTTTTAACGTGGAGTATATCAATTTTTTATTTAAAAGTCTACGCCTACGTGTAACGAAATCTCATCCCGTAGGAATAGGTTCCCGCGGTGTAACCCTATATATACACTTTAAATCTGCCTTTCCGGTACAATTAGAATCCGCCTGACTCTCGAATACCCCCTTTAGAATTGTTTCGCCTCTTGTTACGCGCTACTTAGCCCCGTTTTGTTCGAACCTCTGCTTCTTTTGATCGCCTTCCGGGAGAGCAACGGTTGCCGGTAGAAGGTTTCACGATTTACAAATAACGAGGAATAATTAACGGTGTAACTGTTCCTCGTTCCGCGGGGACAGACTCGAAAGCAAAGTGAAAAACTTCGAGCGAAACCGAACGGTTCGTGGATAAGCAGAACAACATTAACTCAAGATCAGACGTGTCCAAATATTTTCTGATATTCTCTATCACCTGTTAATCTCTATCGCTGTATATTATTTTATAACAATAACAATTTAAGCTTTTATCCATTTAGTATTTAATTTTGGAAATATTTGATCGTTTGATCGTTGAAGTTAGAACGAGTTTGTTGAGGATTGCAGCAAGGTTAAATTTTCAGTGAAAAGAAAATATTTCGAGAAAGGTAATTGATGGATAGAATGTCTCTGTCAAAGAACTGTGAATGGCCGGAAATTCCTGAAACACGCGAGCTGAGCTGATTGTTAGTTTATTCGCATCACGTAGCGACAGCGTACTGATCGAGCTCGTTGCGGGCACTCGTTGCGTATATTACCTACACGGGCTGTTGCACAGAATGAGTATTATTAATATAGTCCGGTAGTCTGAGTATAAATATTTCTCCAATGGAAGCAACTCCGTTCTAACCTGATTGAGTATCTTATCTTCTTTTTGAATTTTTCTCATCGAGATAAGACTGTAGATAAAGCGTTTGAGGATACTAAAGCGTTTAGACACTAAAATTTTGTAGGCGTACTGTACAAATTACTTCAATGAAGTAAATATTTGACAATAGAGTTAGTATCCTTGGTTTATTTGTTTCTCTATTTATTTATATTTTGTAGTTCTTTATGTGTTTTACTTTTAATTATGCTTTTTGTTTTGTTCATCTACATACATAATTAATAATTTGCTAATTTCATTTATTAGACTACCATCATCTAACATAACAGTTTTCTTTAATCATAGACTTCTACATTACAATTAAGCGTACTCAACTGCCAGAGTTTCTAAAATCCTTCGCTAAATTATAAATACGCCATATAATGAATAATGAAATAAGAACTGGAATTCTCAGCTAAAAGCTAAGTATACTAGTATTCCAACTCTTCAATATTTGCTTTCATCATTGCAAACATACGCGATCTTGAGTCATCCATTATACTTCAATATTCTAGATGTACAATCCAATCTAGTGCCTGATCAATAATAAATTTTCAAATCATAGACAATTCATTCTCGTTCCATTCTCTGTAGTAGCCTTTGCTGTAATAATACACACTATAAATAAATGTCCGCTCTTTGAGGAATTAATCACGAAGCTACGGGTTGATACATGGTCAAGAATCGTTCGTGCACGCGCAGAAGGTGAAGGGAAGGTCTCATCTGAGTGGAAGCGTAAGAGGATTAGCGAGGTCGTAGGTTAACAGTTCAGGCTAAGAACCGCTGTTTGATCTGTGACCTAAGACGCACCGTGTGGTGGAGGCGTGTGCACTTGATTCACTCGTTTTTTTTACATCGTACGTTCGCCACTTCGTGTCTTGTTCTTTAATAAACCTATTAGCAATTGTCTTCTTCTCGCAGCGGCGACAAGCTTTCGCCGATTACCATCGTGGAAACATCGCGATGAGAAATACCCCGTTTAAATGGGATTACTTCCACTCGTTTTCCCTTAACCCCGGTTTAGAGGCCGATGAACAACTTCCACCTTCGAGCCTTTAAATGCCCAACGGATGCTCGTCACGCGAATGTACTATAGTTAGCAAGAAACTTCTCTACTTTCGGTGCAATAGTTTACGGACGAGAAAACACGATGTACTAATTTCTAGCACGTAGAATTTCTTTTGCCAGACACCGATTAGTGTAAGCTTAAGTAATAGGATTTGGACGTGATACAGATATATAGAATGGTAAGGTAGCAAATTTTCTTAAGTGATATGCGTACTACGATGTATTTATGTTGTAATCAGCACGATGAAACTAATTTCTGACAGTAACAAAAATACAGATAAAAATCTATAATGGAGGATTGTATGTACACGTATGTACGAATGTAGCATACTAAGTATTCAAGGGGAATTCCAAGAACTCTATTGAAATTTGAATGAAGAATGGTAGGGAAGAGATTCATAAACTTTTATTATACGAACTGAAAAGTATTTACTATTGTATTCAATATTGAATACTGAATATTGAATTATAAAATGTTTGGTACCGTATCGAATGTCAAATAACAATGATAGTCAACGTCGAATAACAAAATTTCAAGTATCAATTTTAAGTCTCAAATATTGAAATTTAAATACCGAATGCCGTGCAGAAATATTTGTCATCGAATCTGAATATAAATTATATCTAGTAACGATAAATGTCATTTCTGATTCAAGGGTGAACCACATGCTCCAATCTTGTTAACCGCAGTGGAAGCGAATAATCAAGTTCACCCCGTTGAATCGCCACTTTCGATACGACTTGTCGATGGACCAACTCCGTTCGAAGGTAGATTAGAACTTTTGCATCGTGGAGATTGGAGAGCTGTCTGCACGAATTCGCGCAAGTAAGTCTTCAATTTCCATAAACGTCAAGAATTTGACACTCATGCGATACAAAAGAAAGTTGAAGAGATAAGTGGCAACAAAAACAAGTATTTGTAGAAAACAGAATTATATTTAACAGGAGCAATGAATAAATAAAAGATACTTTAGAATAGAATACTGTTACCAACATGATAAAATATAATATTTAATAGATTATTGACAGTCACAATGTCTCTGTTCTAAATTTTCTTCTGCCCATTACTGTACGTGTAACATATGATGTAGGAATCCCAGCTTGAGCCCAATTTATAGGAATTTTGATAAATAGATGGTTGTTTGTTTAAAGTAAAATAAAGAAAATTCGTTTAATAATGATTATACTATTTTCTCTTAATTGCTACGGTTACACTCAATCTTCGCTCACTCAAGACTCACAGCTCTCTCTGTCTTCCCGCTTTCACGGCTCGCAACTCACTGCCTTTTTCCTCATCTGTACAAAAATTCGTTATTCATACACACAAACGCATCCATACCCTTACTATCTTAAATGCTAGGGCTAGCCATAAACAATCCCAAGTCCCAGGCTTCTTTACAGTGTATGGTATGCCATTTATGGGACATCTGGTTACCATTGTTAGGCACTGGAGACAGTTCTGGACCTTTTCTCAGAATTTGCCCATCCCACAATGATATAGAACAATAATCAACTTAATAATAAACTTAATATGTTAATGCAACAGTTGGACAAGGGCTGATCTAGAAACAGCATGCAGAGAACTCGGTTTCCAAGGCGGACGATGGTTGTCGTGGATGGATAGACAATGGCCTGCAAAGCCACGACTGCTGTACGAGCAGCCAGGTTGCAGAGGCACGGAAAACTCGTTAACAAATTGCGAGAAATGGTCCGAAAGACAGCTTGGCAGTGGTGTTTGTGGTAAAGTTTCAATTGGATTTTTAGAAATGTAAATGTCCACGGTAGATTGCCAGTACTACATGATTTTCATCCCGATTATCCAGATTATCATCCTGATCTTGGAATATCGTGTCTACCGCGTCACGATGGAGCCACGAAGGCGATCAAACATTGGAGAGGCATTCGTTTCGAAGAAGCGTTGTATGATCGACCACTAATCCAAGAAAATACGCTTTACATACGAAGATCGAAGTCGATTCTACGAAATGTTGTGATCGAGTAAGCGCTTTATAGTTCAGTTGATCCATACAGATTGTTTTAACGAGACGTTAAGATTGAGTTATGGTAAAATAATGGGAAATTACTAATTAGTCACTTTGACGCTTCTGGCGTTAAAAATAAGAATATAAGAATATATCTCACATGTATCTGTTAGATCAAGTATGATTTCTTTGTAGTTAAATATTCGAGACAAGTATTATATCTTAAGGACAGAATGGTTTTTGGTAACATTGTCTCTGTTTAAAAGGCATGCAGGAACAGGCCGGGAATATAATGTTACGGCAGCGATCGATATCGAGGGTGTTCCACCGCAAATGGAATCGATTTCGGTTCTCCATGGCGCCTTTACCGGCATTAATGTCACCACGCCGGATGCTCCAGTCATAATCAATAACAGCACCATTCAAAACAACAGGGGTAATTTTATTTGTCAGTGTTATTAACCAAAATAGTCGAATTCAATCTTTGTATATAAATTTTACACAAATTACAATTTTAAAAAATTTAATCGGACAAATTTAATACGAGTTAATAGCTTAATGTTATATTAAATTAAATTAGATTTAACTTCATACGATATCTCCAATGTTATTAATTTACAGGATATGGAATTTATGTGAACAGTTCGTCAGGTATGTCGCACATTAACGATTGTAATATATTAGATAACGGAGCTGATGGAATTAAGTACGTTCATTTCGACGAACGGCCCGATGACAAATTAGATCGTACAGAGGTGTTCGATTTGTGCACGTTTCCAACCACAGCCAGTCAAACTTTCCCTGTTATAATATCCATGGAACAGAGTAAATACGCTCCTAACATAAAAAGTTGCCCACAAGTAAATGAATTTGTAAATTATTATATGAATAGCTGTAGAGAGTAAAATAGAATGTAACGTCTGGTCCAACGTAATTTTAGGACATCTTTACAAGACCTGGTCACGTGTTGACCATGCAGGTTTTGAAAATGAAGACTGACAGAAATAACAGTGCTATGATAGAAGTATACGATGGCAAAGGTGAAGCGAAAAGATTACTAGCCAGTTTGAGAGTTAAAAATGGTACGCTGCCTCAGAGCGTCACTACAACTCGGCAAAATTTGTTTATAAAGTTCATCGCTGAACCACGTACGAATACGATCGTTTTCGTGCGACTGTCTTCCGGTTATAGTAAGTCTTCTAAATAATTTGAGTTACATTGAAATTAAGAAATACCTTATTATTCATTTATTTTTACGATAATTATTTGAAATAATTATCATTTTATTCCAGAGAAAATATACGATTTAAACGTGACTGGAAGTGTTATAGCTGGTAATAATGGAAGAGGAATCGCAGTGGAGAAGCTACGATCAGCCTTGCACGTTCATGAAACTTCTGTATCCAGTAATAAACATTTAGCTGGTGTGCATGTGTTGGGAGGCGCTGCGGATGTGAATATTACGAGTAGTCGCATATCTTTTAATACGGGAGACGGCGTGAACATTACCCTCACAGGAGGAAATCGCAATGTGTCTCGGACGAGTATTTCCTCCAATCAGGGTTATGGTTTTGCAGTCTGGTTAAACGACAGCACGGCTACCGAATACATATACTTCAATCAGACTACCGTAGTTGAATACTCGCAGATATTTCGGAACAAAGATATCGGTATTCTAGTAAGTACACTGCAAGAAAAGTGAATCAGAAATCGATGATTTTGTTGATTCTTTATTTCGTGTCGTAATGAATTTTTTTTTTTTAAAGTCAAGTTTCTTTCATTGTTTGAAGTATTATAATTTTAAAGTAATGAGTAGATCGCGGATTTTAGGAAAATCTAAGATTCAAAATATCTACAAAATGCATATAACATATCCATATCATATGCATATAACATATAATAATAAATAAAAAATATTTAGATTCTACGTTTTTAACTGCATTTGTAAAAATATAAAATTGCATAAATGTCTACAATCTAGTAATAAGGATCTACGAACCTTTATATTGCTAAATACATATAGAGATCTATAAAAAATAAACTATAATTAACGTTCGTATTGTTAACAGGTAGGCAATGCAACTGGCAATTCGTACGTGAACGTAACGGGTAATTGGTTCAATAGTAGTACTGAGACTGCTGTGCAAGTAGAATCCAGCTGGAGACACGACAAAGGACTATTAAAGCTTCAAATTGGCCACAATTCTTTCGTACAGAATGGAAAATTCGGGATCAAATTGAGTCCTGCTCTCAATTTAAAGGCAACGATAGAATACAATTACTTTAGAGAGCAGTCCAGCGGTTGTATATTGATCAAGAATCCTCTCTATGAAGAATTTAATATCCTGCCAGCGGACATCGTTGTCAGACACAACGAATTTTATAATAATCGTGGTGCCTTTATAGTCAGCATTGGTCTTTCACCCTACAGCGATGTACAAAGATTATTATTTACGAGGAATTTCTTACGCGATAACCGTGTTCGAGAACTATTTGATAATGGGAATACCGTGAGATCTAGATTAATCCCGCGTTCCAGAGTCGCGGCTGTGGTCGTTGTTTCATCGAGCAACGTTGAAGTTTTTCGCAACATTTTACATAATCCCGAATCACGATACGAAATCGGTTCCCACTTGGAGGATCAAAGCAAAATTATAAATTGTACTTACAACTGGCTTGGATTTGCTGAAGAGAATAAGATATTTGAAAGATTATTTCATAGGTTTGTACAATTAATTTATAATATAAATTATATGATAGGCTAGTGTTTTACAAATTGTTTAATTGCACCATTTTATTTTAGAAAAGACAGATACAATCTGGCAAAGATCGAATATTTGCCGTACTTGTTACACAGTAGCAATCCAGGCGCCAATACGATCATTTCAAACCCTACATTCGTCCCACGGTTTGTTACACCTGGTACGAATTTAGTTGGTGGCGAAGTCGACGGCCGTGAATTTTTAAACTCTGGCGAATACATTGTCGAGAGGGATATTAACGTAAGACCAGGTGGAAAATTGATTCTCCACCCTGGGGTCACGTTACGTTTCCCACCAGCCGTAGGGATGATGGTCGCTGGAACGTTAGATGCTCGTGGGATAAGACCAAGCGATATTCTATTTACTTTGAAAGAAGAACTTCTCATGGATTCAGATAACGAGACTTTTATGAACGAGGGATTCAAAGAACTAAACGAAATAGAATCTGTACCTGTAAGGCTTCTTGGAGGAAAGACGAATCTTGAAGGAAGATTACAGGTAAAATAATATTTAAGAATTACTGGACATTGATTGGTAATTCATAGATAGATGTAGAATTCGAAATTGAAATAAAATTACTAACACAAGACCGGCGTTTCTAGTTCTATAAATATTTTAGAATGATTGAAACAAGTAAAACAAACAATTTATACATTCATTACACTTTCATTTATAACATGATAAATATTTACAAAAATTACATATTCCGCGGTATAGTTAACGCATTGAAATAAAATTATGAGATTATGGAACTATAGAATTCTAACATATGTCAACAGGTAAAAATAGGCGAGAAATGGGGGACAGTTTGCAACTATGGCTGGACGATTCGAGACGCTGCTTTGGTTTGTCACCAATTAGGTCTCACTTTAGATCCTGACAATTGGCTCATGGAACGTTCACAAATTCCAAACGCCGGTATCAACGAGGACATCATTCTAAGTAACGTCAGGTGTACCGAGGATGATAATGATATATCGAAGTGCAAAGCGGAAACAGAGCAGAATTTCGAGAATTCTTGCACTCACGAGAACGACGTGGGCGTCAGATGCTCGGAAGCTGCGTGGGCAGGCCTTCGATTGGGACCATTAGCCCTGAGAAGTGACCTCCAATTCGTAACGATAGAAAAAGCAGGCTTGCTTGATTATACAACAAATTCTTTCAAGCCAGGTATACGATCATTTTAAAAAGATAATATTGTAATTAAAGATCTTTATAGTTACAAAAACTTTGTTTTTTTTTTTGTCCAGCTCTTCAAATTGATTTTGCAAGACACTCGTTGGATAGCGTTAGAATAATCGACAATTTGCAAGATGGTTTGGGAATTTTGTATTCGGACATATACTCAGTGGATGCTGTAAATACCGTGAAAAATAGCGACTTCTCGCAGAATGGAGGCAGCGGAATTAGTTTCAAGCAACTGGGAATGGAAATCATCAACTCTCGAATTGAAAACAATAAAATCGCAGGAATAAGGCACAATCCTGCTCTTTCTGCAGTTCAGCAAAGAGAATTCGCAGGATGGTTCTTACGCCTGCCAGATTTAATCGATTCGTCGTATAATCCAATAGTCATACCGTATAATGCGAGAGACATTGAACTGTCCAATGAAGAAACTAAGTATATGATAACTGAGAAAGTTACCAGCGATCCCATTCGACAACGTATTGCCATTAAAGTAAGTCAAAGGAATCGGCATTCTTTTCCGTTTTTTTTCTTTTTTGTTTTTTTTTTTTTTACAAAAGGATAATTGTACATTTTTAATTTCACAGTGTACACCGGGATACGTTATCGGTATTCAACTTCTAAATCCCATTGAAAACCGCAGTACAGAACAGATTATCCTATACGATTCTCAGTATATCGATCGTAATTGCGAAAGTTGGAACTTGAAACGCGATTTGGCAATATTTCCTGTAACATCGAGTTCATACGCTGTGATTTTAGACTACGATAGCGGCACAAATGCACTTGGAGGGGCTGTGATTGTTATCACAGCTCTTCAAGCTCCGATACAGGTACGAGGATTAATATATCGAACGTTTATAACATTTGTAAATGGAAATTTAGGAATGCAAACATTCACATATGCAAAATATACCTAAACGTGAAATACTTGTTTCAATATTTAGTATATTTAATATATTTAGTAGAAATTTAAAATTTAGTAAAAGACACAAATTTTTATTTAGATTTCACTTCTTTAATTACCTATCTAAAAATGTCAAAATCCATAATCTGCAGTTTACTTATGAACTAATATTTACAGAATGTACAAAGCAAAATTGTGAAAGGTCCCATTCCAACGTTGCTAGTAACCAAGTCTAAAATCAGAAACAATAAGAAAGGTATACTGGCATCGTTTTACAATCGGTACCTGGATGAAGTTGGCGATCATTTCCTTCGAAAAGCAAACGAGACCATACAATTGATTGCTTGTGAGATCTCCCACAACCAGGAGGAAGCTATTTACGTACATTCACCCTATTGGAACATTTACCAGACAAATATGTCTGAGATAGCGATTCACATTAACGATAGCTTGATCACAGACAACGGCAAAGGAATATATCAATTCAGTCGCGATGCGAGACACTCGAATAATCTTTTCCATTGGATAATGCAAGACAGTACGGTCGAGAGAAACAGAAGAGGTGGCTTCGAAGTGCTTTTGCCGGACGTGTGGCAGTATAACGAGAACTTTACCCACACGTTATATTTTGGTAACAACACGTGGAGAAACAACGAGCAGTTTGGCTTTGTTGTCGATGGACACTACGCTACTTTGAATATCTCCCATAATAGATTTGAAGGAAATCAATGTAAAATTGGCTTGATCTCCATTCAAGGAATGGAGAAAAAAATGCGGATTAATAGCAACCATATCGAGAGCAATACCGGCGTGTATATGGTAGAATTCAAGGCAGATAGCCAGTCAGAAATTTTGGGCAACGTCGACGCACGGTTTTACAATAACGAGGTCAAACGTAATAACTACGATCTAGCTGGTATGGGACCACGTCGTACAGACGATAGCCCTAGTTACGTTGTTGGTTTTCATGGTATACAGAAAGTGCAGATTAATAGAAATTTATTCGGTGATAATTCTCTCGATTACGAACTACTGGCTGGAATCAGAACAGCTAAAATTAACAACGAAGTTGACGTTACGGAGAATTGGTGGGGAACTGCTAATGATACTAAAATCAGGTGATTAATTTATGTAATATTACACGTCTACATATATAATGTTTATTTTAATTAAACTTATCTTAATTAATCTGTGTAAATGTTTTCCATTTGCAGACAAAGTATTTTTGATTTTGATGACTGGAACGATCACGCAGTTGCCAATTACCGACCTTTCTTAATCAGCGATACTTTTGATTCTTCGGTATCTGCATCCTGGCAAATCGGGCAAGAATTAGACTTAGATAATTTAGGAGGACGTATCATAGAGAATCTATCTATCCACGCTAGAGACAAGCCTTATGTTATAAAGTCGGATATTACGATTATGCCAGAGGCCACATTGCACATCTATCCAGATGTTGTTATGGAATTCGCACCCAACGTTGGGATTCTTGTTCTTGGTACGTTGAAAGCTGTAGGTACACCTGGTCACGAGATCATAATGAAACCGATGGAACGTGAGGATGTTAATGACTCTGCGAATCCAAAATTAAGAAGAAGCGGAAATATAATTTCCGTGTCAGATGAAACTATTCGTCTCTGTAAAGATGGACGATGTTCGTCCTTGTACAATGAAGGTAAAATTACTTTAAATACATCCTAATGATATATAATGAATATATTACTGATTCGTTTTATTTCATTTATACAGGATTCTTGGAATTCTTCAATAAAACCACCCTACAGTGGATACCTTTGTGCGACACCAGATTTACCGAAAGAAATGCACAAGTAGTCTGTCGACAATTGGGCTACGACTCTCTTAATGTCTATGTATCCTATGATCGTAGATACGAGCTTCATCCCGGTTCTTTAATACGCGTTTGGTCTTGGCCCGAACCGTTGCAGGTAAATAAAAATACACTGTTCAAAAAAAAAATTAGAGGATTATTTTACCTTTGTTTCTTTTTTTTTTTTTTTTTTAATGTCCTATATACTTTAGTGTACTGGAAAAGAGGAGAAACTGGAAGACTGTCAAATCAGACTAAACGGGCAATTATACGGACATCGGCACGAATGCTCGTGGGACAATGAGTTCGTTTTCATAAATTGTGGGAAACGTAATCTGATGGACTCGTACGACTATTGGGGTGGAATACGAATCGCCAATAGCGAATTTGAGCATCATTTGTACGAGCATCGTATTCACGACGTCGTGACTCACGAAACAGTAAGACGTGTCGAGTCGATGTTAAAATACATCAAAATCATTGGTGCTGGTATTTTGCACTTTGAGAAATCAGCTGCACTGCAAACAATTATGAAATCTCCGACAATAACGCACGTGAACATAACTCGCAGCGCTTATCACGGTATCAATGTAATATCACCGACTCACACGGTTCGTATATATTGGATTGCGACGTTCTTTATTAGTAATTAAATCTGTTATTCATTGTTATATTTAATCTGGTATGTTAATCTTGCAGGTCGAATTATTATTCAACATTATCGATAACGTGCTTGGAAATGGTGTAAACGTACTCTCGATAACAGGAGAAGGTCGTGAAGCGGATGAAAGTTCGTTTACTCCAATAAAAGACCTTAATATTCCTTATCACCTATTCAGTATGATCGATATTTGCGATACCACTAAAGAGATTACACTGGAGGAACGAGTTATAGTTTATTACAAATACGATAATCATCCTGTGAATTGTGTCAAGATCTTCCGTAGTGCTTATAGAGCAAAACCCTTTGGATTTAGGTATCGACTTTTTCTAATGGAATATCAATTTAGTTTCGTTTGAATTTTTCTTGGTCAGATGTTTAATTTCTATGTACTGTTAAACATTTCAGACTCTTGCAATTTAATCTGTTCAACAATACTGGAAAACCTGGTCGAACTGATAGCATCACTTTATACGACGGAGACATTTACAATATCACTGCCAAAAGCATAGGCCATTTGGAAGCTAATAGTGTCGACGAGAAGAAATTGTTCAGAACTCAGGGACCGAGTCTTAGTGTAAGATTATTTGCTAATGGTGCAAGCAATGTACATGGATTTATTGCAGAAGTAGTTACTTTACCAATCTCTGCTATCGGATTCAGTAAGAAAAATTATTGCATAACATTAAATATAAAATGTCGATGTCATGTTATTCTTCATATCTTTTTCCTCCTTTAGATCGCGATGTGCAACATAATATTTCCTATTCTGTGATAACTAACTGCCGCGAAGGAGCAATTAAATACGCTAGTGCTGGCGAAGTGAATGCCATAATGACTCTTGAACGCAATCAATTCACGGATAATTGCGAGAAACTGTACGGTAATTTTTCAACTTGCAAGTCCGCTGTATGGTTGGATGTTCAAAATACTCAAACCTTATATTTCAGGGTAAGTATTTTAATATTTATTAAAATTTTTTTTAACTATTTAGAATGCACGTGTTTTTTAAATATATTGCGCTTAATATTTTAGAATAACGCTGTTCGACGAAACCAAGGTGGTCTTTCCATTCGAGCTGATTCTAGAGGCTCAGCGACCTCTTTGGAAGGATGGATTCACAATAATCTTTTCGCAGAAAATTTCAATAAACCTGCTCTGTACGTAGGAAAAGACATTTTTATTTCCATTTTATTAATGCAAGTGAGCAAGAAACTTATTCAAATGTTTCTCAGATATGTGGAAGGTCGACAAAGCAGTCCATATCAAGAAGTTAATATATTCAGAAACTATTTTACGAAGAACAACGCTCCTTACGATAATAACATTGTACTGAAACAAGTAGTTAGCAATATGACTCTGAATTATTTACATGCTAATCTTGGTGCACATCTCTTGGAAGTCTCTGGATTCGAAGGAGTTCGTTTACCTATCTATCAAAGCACATCTCACAATGGTTTCTACAAGTATGTATCTTTTTATTAATATTCAATAGTTTAAATAAAATATTTCACTCATAAATTTCGCGAAAAATTATTTCAGAAATTATGCGGTAGACCGCGATGGCCGCAGCACAGTAGTTGCTGGTACTCCTGGTCAACAATATGTGGATAACGTTTTCTTCAATCCAGATAATGATTATGAAATGCTTACAACGAATAGATCACAGTATGTACAATTTATATTTCAACTAATATCATATTAGTTACTGGGAACCACAGCAATTTGGAATTGAATTATTTAGTAGTTTCAGAATATTTAATTTTAGTAATTTAATAATTTAACGATTCTATTGAAGAGGTGATAATTAGCTGTTTAAAATGTTATAATTTTCAATGCAACAGACAATTAGAAATGTGGAGATCCCATGTAGATGCACGACACAATTGGTGGGGATACAACGAGACGCTAGCTGTTGCTGGCCGAATTAGAGACAGAGGAGATTCTCCAGAATTGTTACAAGTGGACTATCAACCTTTCTACATGAGCAACAAATCAGTCTTAAACGATAAATGTCCACCAGCTTGGGATTTGGTGGGCGATACATGCTATATATACATTGGTGCTCCCATGGATTTCTTTAGCGCTAGAGATTTCTGTAGAGTGAGTATCACTGAACTTTCAATGTATCTAATTATCTCATTTATATAGACTAATGAAATTTGTTTCAATGTCTCCAGTCTGTAAACGCGTCCATGCCATTCATTATGGGCAATTACCTAGAGCTTTGGCATTTTCTGCGAAAGCAACAGGTTCGATACGACTATTCCGATCGTGCCTGGGTGCAACAATTAGATCATGTGGATCAGTGCACAACTTTCACGTATCAGACTATTGAAATTGACTACTGTGCTCAACCAAGTCCTTTCATTTGTGAAATTGGTAAATTTTATTATAATTATATGTGTGTAATACATAAAACAATTCTAGGAAGATGTTAAAAGAGATATGCATGTATATTCTCTTTTATTGTAGATCCTAAAGTAAATATCGATCCACTATCATGGAGAAAAGACATAGTCGCAGTGGCTGTGCTAGGAGCAGCAGGCGTAGCTCTAGCATTATTAACAGCTGCTATTGCACTCTGGGTATCTAAATCAAAAAGAAGAAACATTGAAAGACTGGAAAGACGAAATTCAATAAGACAATCCTTGCATTCCTTGCGATCAGTTGGCTCTACCTCTGGTTTCGCTGAACTCTCATACAGACGCAAACCCATTGCGGTAAATATTCTTCTAATTCAACCAATTTTTCTTTATCAAACCTACTTCTTTATCAAACCAAAAAGCAAAAATTCTTTATCATCGTGCCAATATTGATTTCAGACGAAACAATCTACAGACACTTTGAATTCAAAGTCGCTGGACTACAGGAGAATGTTAAACGGTGGTAGTATAGATTCAATGGACAAGTCCCAATTGAACTCGTCCATGGAAGACAATCAAAGCTACGACGTATACGAAGCGCACAATCCAAGATATTCTCCAAGCACCAGCGATTTCAAAGGCGCCGTTCAAAAATACGGCACCTCGCAGAGTGGAGACAATCCGGTATTTGATTTAACATACCGCAACGAAGGTTTCAGAAATCATTCCACATTTACTTCAAGAACCACCAACGACTGGCCCATAGAATCTGCTACAGAAACCACCACCGATGAAACTCCAGTTATCGATGGCTCTACTCACGACAGTTCTTACCTTCACAATACTTCTACACTTCCATTAAACTCCAGTCTTGCCTTAACCGATTCTATCAGCGAGTTGAAACGCGATATTGAAGCGTCAGCGTCTTACAGCACGATGGATTACGATTCGAAACGCAGTTACGATAATACAACGTTCACACCGAGTCAGATATCAGAGCCAGTGCCGGAATATGCTCCAAACTTCAATCCTCCAATACCACCTCATCCTTATCATTATCACGAGGACAGACCCAGAAGTGACGCGTTGTTAGAAACCAATTTGGACACGGGAGAAGAGAAGCCTCTACGTTCGAAGAGCGAAACCTTGCTAGAGACTAACTTGGACGTGTTTTTGGCGAACGAGCCAACAGAATTGACGCAACTCTCGGCTGAAGCGCGAAGCAAAAGTCAGCCTTTAGAAACGGCAATGTAAACCGTTGATGAAGAGTGAAACTACTTTTGTACAACAAGTATTGTAAATGTAAAAAGAAGATACTGCCAGAAGTGTGTCCACTGGTAAACTATAATAATTTTTGCTACGTGGATATGATGAAAAAGAAGGACTTCTAGGTGAAAATAGTATGAAATTGATTAATATTGTTGTTCAGCCCACCGAATTTAATACTTAAGCAACTCAAGAAGAAATACGCGAAACGTTTGTAACGTTTTTGAGAAGAGAAATGTTTTACATCTACTATTCTTCTTGTAACCGAGATCTCAGTATTCGGTTGGCTCTTAATTTAATAGATGTTAACAGAAAGCGAAAAAGAACTCGTCGTACGTTTTATTATATATAAGATGCACTTGCATACAATTCTAAATTGTACCTAATCGTGTAGTATATCCATTAATATATCGAGTAAAACAAAACTTTTTATAATACATCGTGTACAGAGAATGTATGATATAACGATATGAACGAATAATTTGTAATTAGAATAATTTTGAAGAATCATTTACACATCTGTGAAACGCACATCTAGAATAGAATAATTTCCATCATAATTCTGTCTGAAGATTGTAATGAACTGAGTAATCAAGTAAGAAAGATCTAAATTGGAAAAACATAATATAAGAATGACAGATAAACATGTCACAAATGTAATGGTATTACACTGCCAAACATGTTAAAAAAAGTATACTTTATATAATATTAGCACGATGAGAAAAACTCACGTGTCGACATTGTGATAGATAACTCATGTGGGTGTAAATTATGTTTTTAGTCTCGTCAAGCGTACTGATGGTTCTCATCACTTAAGTGAATTATTCATTAAGGAATACTACATCTATATATATATATATATATATATATATATACACATACATTTTTTATCAGCATGAATAGATATAGTTTTCCTTATAGAGTAGGTGATCTCACCAGGCCTTTATAAGAATTTTATTAATCATATTACCGCAACAGATTATCCGTCCATCCGCGTAAGATTATTATAGTGACAGTGCCTTATTATTTGGCATGCAATGTAATGTGTCAAGGCATCAAAGGATGTCTTTCAATGAATCGACTTAAGATATTTCGTTATTCGTATTTTTTTATATTGTTAATTATAAGAAAATCGTAGAAATTTTACGTATAAGATACGTATCAGCGAATAATAGCTCAAGGTGTACTATATAAAAACGTATTCTTCCAAAGAAGAAAGATCGAGAAATATTTGAAAAAACAAAGAAAAAGCGTCGATCGTATAAAATATTTTTGACGCAACTTTTCAGGGCCTAATTATATATTCGTTTAAATTCGGAGATTTATGTGTAACTTAATGTACATTGAAAATTGGTCCCGATGAAACAAATAAAACAAAAAATATACATTCAATTAAACATTTTTATTTTAATGTGAGATAACTCGAATTTAAAATAAAAATGGATTTTACTTTTTTCTTTATATATATTTTATAATTAAATTAGATATCTCAGATATATTACATGATATACATATATAATATCTCAGACAATATATTACACGATATAATGAAAGGATTGACAAATAAATTATGGAAGACTATTTTAAAACAATAGTGAATATATTAATATTAATATCGTTGATAACATTATTAAATATCGGGATCAGATTACTATTCGTCGTAGCCGTTTTCTTAGACCGCAGAAACGATCAATCGGCAATAGAGGCTCGCCTATGTTTACAGTAGACGAAAGCTTCTGGTATAATATATTTATATATATATATATATAATTTTTTTTTCACTTTTTTTTTCTTTATAAAGCTCTTTGTGCGCTCACGAAAAACGGTGCTGCTTATTCAGCATTTTCGAAACGTGATTCTTTCTTTTTTTTTTTTTTTTTTTATTTAAATATGCTGAATCTTATTATAAGATAGGCATACAAATGTATATACAATTTTCTATTATACTAAAACGTTAGAAGAGTCACGCCGAGATCGAATAGTTAAAAATTTCTGTTTACGGAATGATTCCGTTGAATATGCGTGAATTATTTAAATATTTTGCTCTAGTCTCTTTCTTAAATCTGAAAAATCAACTTTAAACTATTTGCAAGATTTAACATGAGGCATCTGATCTTAGAGATCAGAAGAACAGTAGGAACTATCCTTGCAACAGAACATGCGTTCAGGAACTACAATAGCATCGCATTAACTGGTTAGAATTTTACTTCCTTAATTAACCATCTTGAAAATATATAAGTTCATAAAACGAATCTCTTGGTTGCGACTATAGATGTCTCATGTTATAATTGACTATTGATTGATATCTTGAATTCTACAAATGAACTCTTTTTCAGAAACTTTCCTTTTGTCCAGTTAAACTATGTGTACACTATGTAATAATGTATCTCACTCAAATTCAACGAAGAAAAGAAATATGATCTGTAACCAGTTAACGAAACGCTAATGTTCACAAATACATTGTAAAACCAATGATAACTCTTACAGTTATTGCAGTTCTTGTCTTGAAGAAGAAACTATGAAACAATACTTCCGAATTGTTCCGATTTATCATTAAATTGATCTGTGTAATTAATAAACTAAAGCAAAATCATTAAGTAATTCACGCTTAATTTTAAAAATATCAATATAATTCATAATAATTAATTTACTGCAAGTAACAGTGATGGTACTTTACCTGATATTCCTCAGTACGGAAAACTAGTTCTTTTGATCCCTATTGTACACACGTCACAACAGAAAAAAAAACAAAGGAAAAGGAAAAAATTATTGCACCAATATCTCAATGTGACATAGCACGTTACGGTAACGAGAAACAAAATCAACAATATGATTTGTTCATGGTGCTCGTTAACCCGGAGCACAATCTTTATCTTTTACATTTTAACTTAATTCTTAAAACACTTATCCTTATGAACGATATTAACTTGGAGCACTCGCATTTTTCGAACCATCTTCGTTATTTCTCATTATACTTTTCTCATCACAATCAAATAAATCGCTACGTGTCACTACTAGTTTTGGCGCGTACGTTCGATGAAACAACTTCAGGTACCTATGAATCGAGAATGGTGATATCGTTCAAAAATCTCGATATTATCGATCAATTTGCATACATATAACCTGTTCTCTCATCTTTGATCTTTGTTTCTCTTAATTTTTACGATTTGCAAAAAGTTTAATTGAACGCGAAATATTCACGTCATGATATCTCCTTTTTTCCCCTCTAAGTCAAAATAGTACAGTACAGTGAAGTTTTTTTGGCAATTGCAACTGCACGTTGATTATCGATTATCGAAGCTCGTTTGAAACTTAGCTGTAATGTAATATTCATAAAAATATGTATGTATATCTACAAGTTTATATAATTTGCGCATATATATTATATAATTCATCATGTGCTTTGCGATTTTTCTTCATGATGCGTTTGAGTCTTAATTTTTAGCGATAAAACGACTCTGGCTTTTCAAACGTCACTCTATATCTAAAATTGCACCTTTATACACGAGCGTTATTTGCAGGAACAAGAACAGAGAGGAACATTTGCAAAACTGCAAAACCGTGTCCTCGACTCGATTTTTATTCTCGATTTTATCAAAGTATGTATATGTAATTCATCCCTTTCTTACGTATAAGTACAGAAGCCAATGGTCTCCGATTTTAACAAGATTTTAACCATTCTTCAAGACTAGCTTTTTTACGCAAGAAATTATTCAGAGAAAAATAACTATGAAAGAATATTGACGCATAACTGCAATGAGAAAGAGATGAAGAAACTACAAAGTGTATTACTTGGATTGGAGAAGAAGAATGTAGAATTACATGAACTAATCATGTGATTGAGCGATCAGCAAAAATCTCAGATGTCATTCTCGATTTGGTTCACCAATCTTAATTATTATATGAGAGTCACTGTAGAGAAATCATACATATGTACTATACATATGTATTTTGCTACATATAGACACAATCAATTGTCATAAATAAGAATCGATATTAAAATTTGGCTCGAGACAGTGACAGTGTCTGAAAGGAAGACATTTATGAAGTATTTGCAGCATTCATAGCACGACCAAATGATGAAAAATTATAAAACTGTCATTATCGCGCTTCATAGCAAATCAATGAATGATGTAGCTAACATGAAACGAATCGAATAACTTATTTGATATAGTAATAAAACTTGAGAACTTCATAGTGAATCGACGACAATAACGTATCTCTCGTTTGGATAACGTTCGACGTTAGGGTATATATTATATATAAATTTTATATTAAAACTTTAAATTAAATTAAGTAGAATTCTAAAAATAATCGCGCTATATTACTCTAATAATTTTTTCTTTTTTTTTTTTTGTCTTTTTTCTAGTATGAACAATCACTTTCACGTTAACGTAAAGTAGTCAACGTGTTCGATCAACTGTAGCTCAATACTCGGAACCACAATATTGCGAATCGAATATTTTGTTCGAATTAAATGCTACCACGTCATGTATCAAACTCATTGCTCGAATTCCGAATATTAACTTTCGCTAATTTCCAGTAATTTCCAGCCTATTTAAAATGATCGAAACGTCAACTATTTTTAAACGTCACGATATTATTACTAACACGACGAAGCTGCTGCCTAATCGCGATTTGTCTCTCCCAGGAATGTTCATCAAGCGCCCTAACGTTGTTCAATCACACGGAGCGGTGGATAAAATGAAGAAGAAACAAAACGTAAAGAACGGGCGACGAAACAGAAACTAAGGAAAAGAAAAAAAGAGGGGATCAGCAGAATAAAAAACCTGCCGTATTCGTTCTGTTCCAAAGGAATTGAAACAAACGACGAAAAAGAAACGACGTCACTGCGTTAAGCTACGACGACTTGCATCTGTCTCTAGACTAGAAAGAAACGTGCCACCCTGCGACACGTTAGATTTATGGGGTAGGAGTTGGGGGGGAGCTCCTTGCGAAGATGAGAAAAAAAAAAATATTAATCCAGTCACGTCGGATATCTCTCGTTCAGCGAATTTCCTCGGATAACGAAGAAACGGATCTTTTAGATAAGGATCTTCTTGTCGTACGTGCACACGTACGACAACATATTGCTTCTTTTCGCATGCAGCAAGTAAAACATAATCGTTCAGTTTCTGTCGTGCGAAGCTAAAAAGGTTCACTGAATCCTGCCGATGATCGAACATGGGGCAGAATATTTCAAGACGAATTTACCACGTGAATCTTGATGAGATAATCGTCATCAAACCATGAATACTTCGATAAACGAATTGCATTCTGCTTGCGGTGGTGCAGGGATAGGTACACGCTTTTCCAAATCCATTCGAGGAAGAAAAGCGTCGATACGTTGTGGTTCTGCAGTTGGTGTGGTCGCAGGTACGGTTGCTCCTGGTGCTAATTGTAGACATTCTGCTGGAGTTAACTGGAAATGCAATTTTCGTAATTATTTTGTAACTATATGATCAAAAAAATCTTTTTTAAAATATTCTGATGAAAGTCTTAAAATTTTGATTTGGAGTCCTTACCAAGGCTGCCTGTTGAGGAATTCCGATCCCACCAACATTCGCCGGATTGTAATAATTAGTTGGACTGACCGGCGGTGAAGGATAAGGCCAATAGAAAATTGGAGGCGGATAAGGTGCTGCAAACTGTGGTGGTCCACGCGGTAGCATTGCAGCAGCAGGTGGAAATATCGCGACTGGTGGAGGTGGCAACATCGTGCCTCCTAGATTGAAAAAAGAAGAAAATAAATATTCGATCAAGTTCATTCGATAAGTAACATTATAATAAGTATACCACCGTTCAAAAATTGAATTATTCAATGATAGATATGAAATCACATTTTTGAATGGTAGTATAGACGAGTTCATTTACATTAACGATCTAAAAATCTTTCTCTTCATATGAAAGAGAAACATTGAAATTCTAAAAACCACAACTACGAAAGAAATAAGAATATTAAAAATACCCTTGTATAATTGTTTTGCTTTTTGGCTATTTTAACTAGTTGACAATACGAGCCTGAAATATTACAATAGAAAGTACGTACAAGAAACTTTAATCTCGATACACAATTGGCTTCGTGGATTAATTTGTGAATAAATCTCTCAATCAAAAAAAAAAAAAAATAAATAAA